ACTTTACAAACAAGCTTGAATATTTGAAATTAAATTGTATTTTATTTCAAACAAAGTAACCAAAAAAATATACCTAAGACAACTATGTAAACAATTAAACACAAGAACAAGAACAAGAACAAGAACAAGAACAAGAACAAGAACAAGAACAAGAACAAGAACAAGAACAAGAACAAGAACAAGAACAAGAACAAGAACAAGAACAAGAACAAGAACAAGAACAAGAACAAGAACAAGAACAAGAACAAGAACAAGAACAAGAACAAAAACAAAAACAAAAACAAAAACAAAAACAAAAACAAAAACAAAAACAAGAACAAGAACAAGAACAAGAACAAGAACAAGAACAAATTAAATGTCTAACCCAATAAAGAATTGCAAAATTCTTTACGAATTAAAATGAAAAACGCAACTAATAACTTAAAGAACTGTATCGTCACACTCCTCACTGCTCGAGACTCGGTTACAAGCGAAGCGATATGTATACCTATAGATATACTCTGGTAGGCAGGAGAACGATTGACCAAGTAGACGCGACCGTAGATTCTCTCATAAGTAAAATTCTCACACTTAACTTAAAATTACGCGTTTATTTAAAGGTTTGAGTAAAAACTTTATATAAAAACATATGTTTCTTTTTTTGTTCCCCATCGACTGGCATAAAAAAAAATTCAAAAAATTAATTTTTTAATACTGTCATTATTATGATATAAAAGAGTAGTTTCTTGTAATATAAAGGGTACTTTTCTATATGACACCGGGGTTTTAGGAGGCTAATTTTTGGGGATAATGTAGAGAGTAATAATGTTACTAAAATCCACCTAGTGAGAATACCGCATAAAGCCTAGTTTTCCTTAAAAAAAATAAAGATGTATAAATAAATAGGTACTTGTAATATAAAGGGTACTTTTTCTATATGACGCCGGGGTTTTAGGAGGCTAATTTTTTGGGATAATGTAGAGAGTAATAATGTTACTAAAATCCACCTAGTGAGAATACCGCATAAAGCCTAGTTTTCCTTAAAAAAAATAAAGATGTATAAATAAATAGGTACTTGTAATATAAAGGGTACTTTTTCTATATGACGCCGGGGTTTTAGGAGGCTAATTTTTTGGGATAATGTAGAGAGTAATAATGTTACTAAAATCCACCTAGTTAGAATACCGCATAAAGCCTAGTTTTCCTTAAAAAAAATAAAGATGTATAAATAAATAGGTACTTGTAAAATAAAGGGTACTTTTTCTATATGACGCCGGGGTTTTAGGAGGCTAAATTTTTGGGATAATGTAGAGAGTAATAATATTACTAAATTCCACCTAGTGAGAATACCGCATAAAGCCTAGTTTTCCTTAAAAAAAATAAAGATGTATAAATAAATGGGTACTTGTAAAATAAAGGGTACTTTTTCTATATGACGCCGGGGTTTTAGGAGGCTAATTTTTTGGGATAATGTAGAGAGTAATAATGTTACTAAAATCCACCTAGTTAGAATACCGCATAAAGCCTAGTTTTCCTTAAAAAAAATAAAGATGTATAAATAAATAGGTACTTGTAAAATAAAGGGTACTTTTTCTATATGACGCCGGGGTTTTAGGAGGCTAAATTTTTGGGATAATGTAGAGAGTAATAATATTACTAAAATCCACCTAGTGAGAATACCGCATAAAGCCTAGTTTTCCTTAAAAAAAATAAAGATGTATAAATAAATGGGTACTTGTAAAATAAAGGGTACTTTTTCTATATGACGCCGGGGTTTTAGGAGGCTAATTTTTTGGGATAATGTAGAGAGTAATAATGTTACTAAAATCCACCTAGTTAGAATACCGCATAAAGCCTAGTTTTCCTTAAAAAATAAAGATGTATAAATAAATAGGTACTTGTAATATAAAGGGTACTTTTTCTATATGACGCCGGGGTTTTAGGAGGCTAATTTTTTGGGATAATGTAGAGAGTAATAATGTTACTAAAATCCACCTAGTGAGAATACCGCATAAAGCCTAGTTTTCCTTAAAAAAAATAAAGATGTATAAATAAATAGGTACTTGTAATATAAAGGGTACTTTTTCTATATGACGCCGGGGTTTTAGGAGGCTAAATTTTTGGGATAATGTAGAGAGTAATAATATTACTAAAATCCACCTAGTGAGAATACCGCATAAAGCCTAGTTTTCCTTAAAAAAAATAAAGATGTATAAATAAATGGGTACTTGTAAAATAAAGGGTACTTTTTCTATATGACGCCGGGGTTTTAGGAGGCTAATTTTTTGGGATAATGTAGAGAGTAATAATGTTACTAAAATCCACCTAGTTAGAATACCGCATAAAGCCTAGTTTTCCTTAAAAAAAATAAAGATGTATAAATAAATGGGTACTTGTAAAATAAAGGGTACTTTTTCTATATGACGCCGGGGTTTTAGGAGGCTAATTTTTTGGGATAATGTAGAGAGTAATAATGTTACTAAAATCCACCTAGTTAGAATACCGCATAAAGCCTAGTTTTCCTTAAAAAAAATAAAGATGTATAAATAAATGGGTACTTGTAAAATAAAGGGTACTTTTTCTATATGACGCCGGGGTTTTAGGAGGCTAATTTTTTGGGATAATGTAGAGAGTAATAATGTTACTAAAATCCACCTAGTTAGAATACCGCATAAAGCCTAGTTTTCCTTAAAAAAAATAAAGATGTATAAATAAATAGGTACTTGTAAAATAAAGGGTACTTTTTCTATATGACGCCGGGGTTTTAGGAGGCTAAATTTTTGGGATAATGTAGAGAGTAATAATATTACTAAAATCCACCTAGTGAGAATACCGCATAAAGCCTAGTTTTCCTTAAAAAAAATAAAGATGTATAAATAAATGGGTACTTGTAAAATAAAGGGTACTTTTTCTATATGACGCCGGGGTTTTAGGAGGCTAATTTTTTGGGATAATGTAGAGAGTAATAATGTTACTAAAATCCACCTAGTTAGAATACCGCATAAAGCCTAGTTTTCCTTAAAAAAAATAAAGATGTATAAATAAATAGGTACTTGTAAAATAAAGGGTACTTTTTCTATATGACGCCGGGGTTTTAGGAGGCTAAATTTTTGGGATAATGTAGAGAGTAATAATATTACTAAAATCCACCTAGTGAGAATACCGCATAAAGCCTAGTTTTCCTTAAAAAAAATAAAGATGTATAAATAAATGGGTACTTGTAAAATAAAGGGTACTTTTTCTATATGACGCCGGGGTTTTAGGAGGCTAATTTTTTGGGATAATGTAGAGAGTAATAATGTAACTAAAATCCACCTAGTGAGAATACCGCATAAAGCCTAGTTTTTCTTAAAAAAAATAAAGATGTATAAATAAATGGGTACTTGTAATATAAAGGGTACTTTTTCTATATGACGCCGGGGTTTTAGGGGGCTAATTTTTGGGGATAATGTAGAGAGTAATAATGTTACTAAAATCCACCTTGTGAGAATAACGCATAAAGCCTCGTTTTCTGAAAAAAAAAATTTTCTCATATAGCGTGGTATTAGGGGATTCTATTTGCAATAACAGAAATTTAAATAGTCTATAAAGCTTAATTGATCTAACAATTTAAATTTTATTTAATTCTAGAATTAAATAAAAAATATAATATAAAACGGTAAATGAATCTACAGTTACTAAGGAGAGCAATGCTATAAAGGTATTTTTCCAATCAAAAAAGTTAGAAAGGCTTCATATTATTAAATTAATATTTGATATTATTTTATCAGAGATTATCTCTAAGGAATATTTTAAATAACAGAACATTGTGTAGAATTTCCTTGCTAATCACTTAATTGTACAGTGTAAACCTGTCTTAGTGGTGGGGGAAGAGCGCTGGATATCGGAGCTAATGATGGGCGCTAACTTCACACAAGTATTACGAGCAACTGCAATAAATATGATGTAGTTGTTAACATATTGAAGAAATTTAGGGGAAACAATTACGAGCTATCAAGTCCCCCAAGGAGTCAACAGTGCAATCAATCGCCAAATTTTCCATTCCGTTTTTTCCATCGAGTTTCACAAGGTTGGCAACGTATCTGCATAGCGGCGTCGATTGCCAGTAAGGCTTTCCATTAATCTCTAGTACCGGCACTTGTCCTATGGGCATTTCTAAAAATATGATTATTGAAATATTTTGCAAAATTCTCTTCTAAAATGTTGTATTTATTTTTAGTAGAAAAATTTTACGTTACTTGGTTTAATAGCGAGCCATTCTTTTCTATCGAATCTGAAATCTTCGAAGGGGATTCCCCCGTACGCAAATAGCATACGAATAACTTCCCCTTTACCGCCAAAATTGAAATAATATAGTTTGTAATGGGTGCTCATTTTGAAAAAACCTATAGAAAAACAATTATATAAGCTATTTATTTAATGGGCAATAAAATAGTATTAAACCTTCGCCTAATCTAATCTCATATACGTACCAAAAATTACAAGCGGTTTTATTAATAAATGTTTAAAGTTGAAAGATTAGCACTTAATAAATTGTGTGAAATGTACGGTACACTTTAAAATCAATTATCGAAATGTAGTAGATAGATAAAATATTTTAACATTTATCTTGTTATTCGAGAATTGAATGGTAATAATTTTTATCAAATTTTATCTACTTTAGGTGAACTTATGAATAAATTAAAGATATATAAATATCATAGAGAAAGAAAGATGTTTTATTTTGTCTATGTATAAATATATGAATAAAATAAACGTAATTTGTGTTAATTAAATAAAATAATCATTTCATAATAGTATTTGAGTAATGGTTACAATATTGCCTCTATGTATGTACTTATTCAGCCATGTGTCTGAAGAAGCCATAACACACGGTCACCAAATAAACAAGTTAGAAGAATTTCAAAATCAAAATGACAAATATCCATCAGTAAATTAACCTAAAATTTAAATATTTTTGTTATTAGTTATAAAAATAAATAATTATAATACTTACTGCTAACAAAGGGTGTTTATTTAGTATGGAACTGGGAACTATACAAACTCTATATACTTTTGAAACGGAATATAGCGCAGATTCGGTAGAATGGTGTCCTCACAAACCACATCAAAACTTATTCGTTTGTGCCAATTATCAACTAATAGAAAACGAACAAACAGGTAAATAAATTGAAATAGTGTATTTCGATTCACTCATTGCAATTTTTTCATGCCAGGTAATTCCAGTAAAAGAATAGGAAAGTTACTGGTGTTTCTTTTGGACGCGGACAATGGCCTGAAGTTGATACAAAGTATGAACACTTCTGCAATACTAGATCAAAAGTGGTGTCACAATAAAGTTAATGATTCTTCAGTCCTAGCTGTGGCCACTGCTGATAATAAAGTAGACATATACCAACTTAATGAACAACCCTTAGAGCTAAAATTGTTAACTTCTTGTAATATAAATTCAAATACTCCGGAAAATTTAATACTGTCCTTAGACTGGTCAACAGGTATGTCAAATTCGGGCAAATTAGAAATTGTTTGTAGCGATTCAAAGGGGAGCCTGCATATACTGGAATTTAATGATACTTTGAATTTAAAGGAGAGTTGGTATGGGCACGAATTTGAGGCTTGGATTGCCGGATTTTATTACTACGATACAAACATTGTGTTCAGTGGTAAGTAGAACTGTAAGTAACGATTTATAATCCCCAACTGTCTTTAAAAGTTTTGTACTATTCGTAAATATAGTTCATCAATCAAACAGTCACCTTAAGCATTTGCATATATTCGGTCCACTAAATTCCGTTCAAAACCCAAAATATGAGAAAAACTCTTTGTTCATTATTTTCTGTCCATTGCAAAATTCGCAGAGCACTACTCAGATGAACTAATTCAATCAGCTGCTACAATCAAACTGATTGAGAAATCTCTCTAATTTTTTGCATGCTAATTGAGAATAGTGTTAGTGTTACCTACATACCGAAATTTGAAAGTTATAAATATTAAATACACGTAATTTAAATCAGAATTTCCGGGTACTTTTTTCTCAGAAGGTGTAATCAAAATATGTTTAAATTTGTGTAAAATATATCTATTTAAAAGTGTAATTATTCAGGTGGCGATGATAGTTTATTTCTGAAATTCGACAGAAGGACAGGACTTGAACCTGTTTTCAAAAACAAAAGTCATGAGGCCGGCGTAACTTCTTTCCACTCAAATTCAACGAAAGAGTATCTTGTAGCTAGTGGAAGGTACTTGTAAAAAATTAATTCATTTTATGATTATATTTATTCATTTATTATTTCATTTTATTCATTGAGCAGATTTATTTATTATATTTATTTTTTAGTTATGACGAGAAAATCAGGTTGTGGGATATCAGAAAAATGAAGACAGAATTGAATTTGATCAAAATGCCAGGAACACTTTGGAGATTAAAATGGGATCCGTTTCAACACGATAAACTGTTAGCAGCTTGTATGCTTGGAGGGGTGCATGTAGTAGATATTTCTGCAGAGCAAAGTGAGATCATTGGAAGTTATTATGAACATAAAAATATCGCTTATGGAGCGGATTGGTCATACCTAGATAATGATGAATGTGACAAACATGTGGGAAAAACAGGACAATGTATAATCGGTTCTTGTTCATTCTATGACAAATTGTTATGCATATCAAAAGTAGATTTTAATACATAAATTTTTATAATAATATATGGCATTTAATTTAACGCATTAGCATATTGGAATTCGGGACTGTTTTCGTATTCGCACATATCGAGTGCTACTTCACAGCTCTCTTTGACAACTCTCTTCGAATCGCTTAGATATTGATTTAAAATCTCCGTGCATTCCTTGGTTGCGATAGCACCCAGAGCTTCCGCACATTCGTGCCTTACCATCTCGTTTTCGTGTTGATCTGCAAGGGATTCTTTTAAGTACATTGTCGCCCTTCGATCTTGCAGTTGGCCCAAAACGAATGCTATTTCGTGCCTAAACAAAGCACTGCCGCACTTCAAAGCTGCGCCTAGAGCATCTATGGAAGCATTGGTTTGTATATTTCTTAACGAAAACATGGCTCTGTATCGCTCGAAGAGTGATGCATTCTCGTCGAGAAGAACCTTTTTTAGAGCTTCCACGTTCAATTCCTTACTAGGGGGAGCGGGGTCCACGGAATCGTAAGGATTATCTGTAAGGTCTTCTTTTTCCTTTTGAGATTCCAACCAATTAATTCGGTCCAAGGCGAGTTGACAAGTTTCTGCTACTTCAACAATTGGATCGTTCTTGTACTTTTCCAGTATTTCTATGCTTTCTGGGCTGCCTATTGCGCCTAATGCTTCACCTAGAAATGTTGTTTAATAATAAAAAAGAATACAATAAGCAGGTTTTTGTTACTTAAGGGTATAAAAAATGATATATTACCTGCTTCATGCCTAACCATAGGCTCCTGTTTAGTATCCTCTAAAATGCCAATTAGAATAGAATTAGCTCTGGGATCTTGCATTTGCCCCAGGCAATAGGCTAATTCGTGTTTTAAGAGAACTGAGGAGTCTGAGAAGCATGACCTAATGCAATCTATGGATACATCACCTCCGATATTTCTCAATGTAAATAAAGCACGAAAACGTTCCTTTAACGGCCTGTTTGTATCATTTAAAACGTTTCCGATCGATCTAATTTGAGCTTCTGTTGCAATAACCATCGTAAATTAATTCTTACTTGTTAGATTCGAATTTTTGACAAATTATAACCTCTTTCTTTCTAGAATAGACGGGCTCTTTACCTATTTACCTTATAAGTCAGAGGTCATTTGAGTCATTTCATTTACAAAAAATGACGTTTGACATTGAAGTTTGTTTATGTTTACTAACCTCAATTTCAAGTATTAATTTCATCTTTAAAATACAAACAAAATATAGGCAAAATAATAAATCTAATTAATATGGGTGTAACGATTTTAACGCAATTCGCGTTAGAAAACAAAACCGGCCCACAAACGGTAGAGGTGTTATCAAAAAGGATATGTGCTTTGGGGGCCGTACAGCAGGGTCACTTTTTAGTTGACTGTGAAACGTATACGTCTGTTCCGCAATTGGGGCACCAAAGGACTGTTCACGTGCTACATAATTCAGAACAACCTGCTACCGTTTTCTCTTTGTTAGATAATGGCACGAAAATCACTGCTTTAGCAACCGATGGATTGTTCGATTTGCTTATGATGAAAATGTCTCAATTTTATACTTCCAAAAAGCAAACTAAAGCCGAATCGAAAGGACTCAGGTAAAGCAATAATAATAAATTGTATAATTCCAATTATTTAGTTTATTTGATGTCACATTCCTGCTCTATTACTTATCCTTACAGGTACGAAATTGGTGATTTTTATGTTAAACTGGGAACCGTAACTGTGAGCAGTAACTACAAAGGAATTTTAGTGGAAGTGGAATACAGGCCTTGTGTGGTGCCCGCTATGTGTTGGGACTTATTGAAGGAGTTTTTACAAGGATTTTTAGGCTTAACAGCCCCCACAAACCCTCCTACATACTTACAAAATAGAATGCAAGAGGTTTATACGCCTATAGATACAATTCACCAGTATTTGGAGCATTTCACTATGTTCCGAAAATCTCCTGGTATTTACAGAAATTAACAAACTCGTTAGTATTATAAGTTAAAAATAAAAGTATGTGTAAGAATGTTGATTCATAATTTATACCGGAACATATAGATAAAAGGCCATTTTTTCTATTATCAAAAGAGAAGCGGAAATGACTTTACAAATGTGACGTTTTGAGGTTATCGAACTGTCACTTAACCACTATAACATAAGTTCACGTAATTAGAAACTTTAATTGTAGAGTATAGGGATTACAATGATATGGCAACTTTTAGAAAGTGAAAAATAGTAGAACATGAGTGAAAACCAAAATAAAATTCGAGTCGGTTCACGAAAAAGTGAAGTAAGAAAAATATATTTATCCTTTCTATTTTCACTTATAAAATTAACATTTAAATTTTTAGCTGGCTCTCGTTCAAACTAAATATGTTATATCCCTTCTCAAAGACTGTTTTCCTGATAAGGAATTCGAAATAGGTTTGATTAACGTGTATTTAATACATAAGAAAATATATAAAGCCTTTTTCAGTTACTATGAACACTTTAGGGGATACAGTTCTTGACATAGCACTGCCAAAAATTGGTGAAAAGTCGTTGTTCACTAAAGAATTAGAGACTGCCTTGGCCTTAGGAACCGTGGATTTCGTTGTGCATTCCCTAAAGGACTTACCTACTTGTTTGCCCGAGGGTATGGCAATAGGAGCTGTATTAAGCAGGTAAAATGTAAAATAAATTAAGTAATTCCTAGAAAATAAATCAATAAAATCATATCAGTTATACTACACTCTCCTAGGTTCACTGAAACGATCGTCAAGTTACAAAAATAATAATCTAAACAGCCCTATTTCTTGGATAATTACCTACAATATGTTTTCCAGGGAAGATCCGAGAGATGCATTAGTGCTGCAGAAAAACCTCAAAAGCTCTCTAAATTTATCAAATTTGCCCGAGAACAGCGTGATTGGCACGTCCAGTTTACGAAGAACTGCTCAATTAGCGAAAAATTACCCTCATCTTAAAGTCGAGAACATCCGCGGTAACCTTAACACCAGATTGAAAAAACTCGACGACTTAGGAAAATATCAAGCCATCATATTGGCCGCAGCTGGTTTAATAAGAATTGGTAATACAACACACCAATAGCCAATCGCAAATAATTATTTTGGAATTTTAGGTTGGAAAGATAGAATATCGAAGGTTCTATCGGAGGATGAGTTGCTGTATGCCGTGGGCCAAGGGGCCTTGGCTGTCGAATGTAGAGCTGATAATAGTAACATAATAAAGCTTTTGGAGTCTCTGTATCACTTGGAGACTGCTTTAAGGGTTACCGCAGAGAGGGCTTTTTTGAGGACACTAGGTGGCGGTTGCAGCGCACCAGTAGCTGTTTCTTCTCACCTCAAGGCAGTTGAAGAAAATCAGTTTGACCTGGTTTTGAAGGGTGCTGTTTGGTCTCTAGATGGAAAAGAAGAAATATTAGACACTGTTAATACCACGATTAAGGTCAAAACGGACTTGAGGTGCGCTTCGTGTCCTCGCAGAGACAAGTCTTTTCGAGATATCGAGAATTTAGATTGTGGAAAATGCCAGGAGTACAACAAGTGAGCTCATTACAGCCATTACAACTAATTTTCAATAACTTATCGATTTAATTTCAGCGGAGAACCAGTGGCAAAGAAGATCAAATTCGATGATATACCTTCAGTATTACTCAAAACCGATCGTTGTCCCGTGCAATTGCCGGTAGGCTCTGATTTTATGGCGAAGTGTCCTTACTTAGAGCATCAATTGGACGGATCGTCTGAAAACCTCAATTTAAATATGTCGCAGTGCCCTTTTTTGCTAAATAAAAGCGCACACATTCCGGAAACGATAATAGGAAATTCTAGTAAAGAATGTTTCGATGATGATAATTTATTCTGCGGATTGGTTTTGCATAAACAGGCGACACTCGAAGGCATGACAGCCGCCAAAGAGTTGGGCGTAAAATTAGCGAAAAAACTAATAGCTAATGGTGCTCTAGATATTATGAAGAAAGCTCAAGCTATTGTTCACGGTAAAAGTAATTAAATTTAAGTTATTATGTAGTCTTCTGTTGGGGTTAGTTGTGTTTTGGTACTTTCGGATATTTTATAAGTATCGTTCTCTATTTTTAAATTTTATATTCTCCTGTTGGTTTTAAACAGGTGGATGTGTAGCAATTTGTTTTTAAGTGAAATTTTAAACCTATTTGAAATGATTTTGCATTCTGCATACATTGTTATAAATAAATTATTTAACATGTTTAATTTGCTTTTTATTATATTTTGATCAAGTTGGCCATTATATCGAGTATAATTAATAGATAAAACAATAGAGATACTTAAAGCAAAGATAATCTTTATCTATGGAGGAATTTTAGATAAAACAAACTATTGAATTTTATTCCACATTTCCAACGAGTTTTCCATTTTCAAAATGTGACATATAAATCAAAATTCCAATACACAAATAGACCAATAAAAATTCAGAAACCTTATTTGACACTATTGACATTGACAGATGATTAACGTTTGACAGTGACAGTAAGAAAGAGATTATGGTGTGATAATTAAAGTCAAAGTTCATTAGTTTATAAATAATATCGAGTTTTAAACAAATCAACATAGTAAAAAAATCGCGCTGGAGTCATGATATTAGTTTACATCGAGTATTAATGGATGATGAATACCACAGAAATCGCTAGTCACACAGGAGGCTTACATTGTTCCAAAGATGCCTTAACTGATGTATTCGGATGGTTCTTACAAGTACTTTTAGCCTCTTTAGCATTCACGTGCCTAATTGGTAAGTTAATTTGAATATAATTTGGGATATAATTTAGATAAATATTAGGAAAGTTAACTTTTTATGTAGTGTCATGTTATCATTAGAAAGTATACGAAATCTGAATTTGGTAATAACGTAACTATCAGTTAGTAGAAAATGAAACTTCTCGTTATAGTTAATTTTAATTTAATTATAATTGAGTAGAATATTCTGGATATATAATTACAGCAGCTCATTTCACACAAAAGTTTATTTTTATTGTAGGAGTATTATCAATTTATTCGAAGAATAATTCCAATACATCATAAAAAAACCGATTACGTTCGATTACGTTCATACTTGAAAATTCACTAAAATAATCATAAAAAATCAATTCAATTTTGTCGTATGTTAATTATAATTAATTTCCTTTAGCAAAACGCTTCTGCGAGCCAAGAGGCGAGAGAAGATCATGGTTGATTTGGTTTTATGATACATCGAAACAAGGGATGGGGGCCATAGCTATTCACCTAGCTAACGTATGGCTATCTGGGCAGTATAAAGGAGATCCTTGCACTTGGTATGTATCTCTTAAAACAATTCGTACATATTTTTTTGATATCTTATTGTTTGTAAACAATAGTTGTTGGATGCAAATATTTTGTTTAATCCAATAAATTTTTCCAGTCATTATATTCACTGTGATCTTTCTTATTTTTATAATAATTCATTTTGTGGATTTATCGTTATTATTTTATTTGAGATTCTTTAATTACTGTTTTAGGTACTTGATAAATTTTCTGTTGGATTCCTCATTAGGCCTGTTAATAATATTTATTGGAATAAGGCTTTGTCAGTACTTAGCTAGGACTAAAGGCTGGGAAAACATTAATTTTGGAGAATACGGTAAGATGAATATTTTTGTTATCAATCATTTTATATTCAAAATTATCATTTTTTTAAGGTAAACCACCCTCTGCTAACGCTTGGATGACGCAATGTTGCCTTTATGTTTGTCTTATGATAATTGTGAAAGTGTCCATAACACTGTTCATGCATTTGAATTTTTGGGAGAACGTAAAAGATTTCATTTTGTCGCCGATACCCAACCAGAAAGTCGAAGTGGCTTTCGTAATGTTAATTATACCGTTTTTTGTAAATGTAATTAATCGCCATTCTATTTTTATGCGAGTGTGTATAATTCTCCATCTTTTAGATGTTAATGTTCTGGGTGACCGATAATTTCCTCATGTACAAAGATCCGGCGAAAAGGCGAAGATATAGTAGTTCAAGCGATGGATTCTTCCGTAAAATTCATGTCAAATACAGATCTTTGGCTCGAAAGAGGCAACGAGAATCGGAGAGTGATGTTTTATTGTCTGCTGATGATGAACTGTTGGATAGCGAAACTGTTCCCATTGCCAGGGCTGTAGTCACTTAACATCTAGGGTAAGTTTGCCCTATTGAAATCTACATCGATAATGAATAGCTATTCTTTTAGGTTAATTATTCTGCAACATTCCAAAACTTGTACCAAATTTGAAAATAGAATTTAGAAACGTTTTGTGGAATTGTGATTTTTAAAAGTTACCAAATGCTACTTGTAATATTAGCGCTACTATGAACAATCATTTGCAACCAAACTCACAATCCTACAAATCCTAGTCGTTAATAAGTTAATTATTCCTTATGTCATGAAAGAAACGTAAATCGACAATTTTGAGTCATTTTTAGAATCCCAATTATTTTAAATTTCATAAATTCGAGTAGAAATAACATTATTCGGCAAAAACAAGGGATTCTCTCTAATAATTCATGGCCTGTTAATTCTATAATATTTACATTTGAAATCATAATGAATTTTAGGTTTATGTATAATGCAACGAAGATGATAATATTTGGCAATCGAACAAATGTTTTAATTTCCAAATAATAGAATAAAAGTGAGCCTAACATAATAAGTAAATGTCCGTTAGATTTGAACATTATTCTTTTTTGATTTAAGGTTATCAAAGAACAATGTTATCTTCTATTGTAGATTTTTTTAATTTAATTCCCTCAGAGGTGTGTAAATTGTGATATTTAACATTTAAGTCAACGACAATTGAGATTACGAGTTACATATTTTTTCATAGTTCTAATGGACTGATTTTTTTATATTGAACTGCTTTAATTGGTGCCTTATCGATTATTATGGTTTAGTTATTTGAAGCAAAAAATTTAAATTATTTAGCATAAAATATTAATAATTTATTCATGCAATTATAAAAGAACAAAGGTCTTTGTACTCTTCATAATTCCAACTTTCACTTGAAAGGAAAGCAACTTACGCAGTTTTTTATATCAGATGCCTCGTTAAATCAGTAATTTCTGCAAATGAGAATTAAATAAATTTTATTTTAAGCGAAATTTGTTACTTAAATCTAGCGAAATCATCCGCCCTGTTTATAAGAAGTTGCGTATGGTTTAAAACAAGTTTACTATTAAAAAATAATACTTAATAGTTCATTTTAAATTGTAACAATTATTCAAACATATATGGCATTTGTTTTTTTACCACATTGTAAAACATCGCGTACATAATGACCTTAACATTGAAGGTTTCGTGCCAATATTTTCCGTTTATTTTTATGCTTTTCTGTAGTTATTTGTGATAAAAATATAAATGATACTTAGGATTGTTAAGTCATGTAGTTAATATTAACAAACATATCAAAAATTAAAAAAAAAATCTCATGAATGTCTATGTTGAGCATTTAATTTGAGCATTTTTTGTGAAAATTTATTAAAGTTGCTGAATTTATAGCCTGCATTATTTATACTATCATAACATTTTAATATAGTATCATAACATCAGGTTATAGAAAATAACCTGTTATTGAAAATACCGGTTGAATCACAATTGCTTATATTAAAATTACTAAATTTTCAAATTTTCAGATTTAAACAATGTTATTTTTAATCAAATAAAGTCATATTTATACTATTTCATTGATTTGGAAACGTGAATCTAATTTTTGATCATAGAAAAGTATTTTTATAATATAGTTTTATTATTTATTAGAATTAAGTTAAAGTTTATCCTATAGGTTGTTCCAAATAGTCACGCTAATATTTAATAGTATGATTGTTTCATCAGTTTTCGAGAGAAAAGTTCCTATAAACATGTGTCAAATTTCACATTTCTTTTAATAAACGGCTGAATTATACTTAAAATGTTAGCACTACACTAAGGAACGCCCTATACAATCCCATCACAATGCTATAAAATATTCTCGAGTTATGAATTTAACAATTTTTCTTATTTTTCAATGTCAATGAATCGCGGATCAAAGTGTTAATCAATTATTATATTGATACAAAGAATTTTTATATATATTTTTTGAAGTTTTTGTTTTAATTTTATTGTTTATTATTACAGTTTTTTGCTTTCACTGTGCGTAAATAACATGTGTAATCTTTTATTCCAGCGATAATTAGTTGCAATTATAAATTCCGTTTATCTATATTATGGCTTTTACTGCAAATCCTTTTTTTCTACTAGGAGTATTGAGGTGCGCATGAAATTTTTATTTCGGAATAGGTAATTATGAATAATTCCTTACTTATAAACATTTTCAGTGGATTACATCACAAGTAACAAAAAATGTGACAAAAAAAGGAAGCATTGCGACAATATTTCGATCTTTAACTGAATGAATCACATACAAATCATTTAACCAGTCGCATTTATCACAGTCATTCATTCAGATATATCCTCAATCCAACAATACAAGCACCATGTTTCTTTTAATTTTCCTGTTATCAACCTGCTTTGCCCTAAAACATCAGTTGTTGGAAACGAGATACATCGAGGTTCCGTTGGATCACTTTTCTACAGTCCCCAATACCACGAAATTCAACCTAAGATACTTGATGAATTCGAATTATTACCGTAAAAACGGACCCGTTTTCCTGTTCATCGGCGGCCAACGCGACATTATGATGTCCGCCCTAAATTCCGGATTCCTCTTCGATATAGCTCCGTATTTCAACGCCCTGTTGATATTCATCGAACATCGTTATTACGGGAAATCGTTGCCTTTCGGTAAGCTTATTTGATTTAAGGAGTCAATGTTAACACACATTTCAATTACAGGAGGAAATGTCTCTACCAGCCCTGAATATTTCAGGTACCTTTCGGTGGTCCAAGCGCTGCAGGATTACGCGTACTTCATAGAAGAATTGAAGAAAACACTGACACGGGGCGCTAATCATCCGGAAGAGCCAAATGTGGTGCTCTTTGGCTCGTATTACGGCGGTATGTTATCGACGTGGATGCGAATGAAATACCCCTTTTCAGTAGTGGGATCCGTTGCTTCGAGCGCACCACTTTTCCACTTTGAAGGCTTAATCGATTGCGGGCGATATTTACACGAAATCACGACGATCTTCGAGGCTTTCGGACAGAAGAAGTGCGTGAAGTACATCAAACTAGGGTGGAAAGTTATCTTGCATTCGTCGACGTCCAAACAAGGTAAATTAGTACACATTTCCATAACGTTTCAGTCCACAAACACATAAACTTTTCTAGAGAGAAATTACCTATCGGAAAAATTCAAGCTCTGCAGAAACATAGAAACAGCCGCAGACGTGTACAAGCTACTGGATTGGTTGAAAAACATGTACGTGCACATGGCGCTATTTAATTACCCATACAATACTTACTACTACAAACCTTTACCGGCAAACATAATACGACTCTTCTGCGACAAAGTGGTCAGCGGCTCTTCGGATCACAGCACGGATTTGATCCAGATTATCAGCGAGGCGGCGGGGATTTACGCGAACTACACCGGAAAGACGCCATGTACTAATTACGATTTTAATTACAACGAGGCCGAAGAGACCGCTTGGAATTACCAAACGTGTACGGAACTGGTCATGCCGATGTGCTCGACCAGCAAGGACATGTTTATGTCGAAGCGATGGACTCACGAAAGCTACCAGGAGGATTGTTTGGAGAAATTCGGCGTCAGGCCTAAGCCCCATTGGGCTCGGGTGACTTTTGGAGGGAAAAATTTAATGTATCAGTCGAATTTGCTGTTTTCGATGGGTTCCCTAGATCCTACGTCAGTTGGCGGTGTTTATTTTAACAAATCTAGACCCAGTTATCCGTTGTTGTCTTACGTGATTCCCGAAACCCCGCATTTGATGGACTTCCGAAGTACAAGAAAAAGCGACGTCGAGTACGTTAGCAAGGCGAGAAAGTTCTACGTGCAAGTGTTAAAAAAGTGGCTTAAAATGTATTTTACGTAAAATAAATTGGCTAACAGTAGGTTTGTTCCAACTCAAGTGAAAATCATAATATTACGGTATAGAAACTGCGCGTTAAACACATCTGCGCAACACTTTCAACGTAAAACGCAGGTCGTGTACCGTAATATTACGATTTTCGCTTGGATTGGAACAAACCTAGAATATCCATAATTGTTATTTATCTACAAATACATTAATTTACTTTCTGATAATTTCCCGTTGATTTTATTTTCTGCATACAAGTTAAATGAATGAGTCATTTTATTCTATAAAGAACCTAAGATTGCAAAAGGAAAAATTTATCAAATAAATTGGAATTGTAATGCCTCTTTGATCTTAAATCCCCGCTATTCCTGTAAAAATATTGTTGATTCATAAACGATCATATGAGATATTTATTACTATACAGGATGTTCCAAAATGACATGCTAATATTTAAGGGGGTCATTCCTGGACCTATTTTAAGGAAAAAACCTCATATGAACCTACATATGTCCTAAACGTCTTAACTTTTGAGATACAGTGTGTTAAAGTTTTGAGAAAAAAATCAAATTTTTGTAATAACTGTGATACTATTGTAGATATCTTTATGAAATTGGGTACACGTCTTCTATGAATCAAGATGCATTTTCTGGCGTACAAATAATTTTATTATTTTCAGCAGTGGCGTCCGTACGGTTTTTGTATTAAGTATTTTTGGAAAAAACAATGGTACGCCACTGCCTAATATTGAAATAAAAATTATTTTCCTTTTCTTGACTTTTTTCCGTACGACTCATCGTTTCGCATTAAAAAATATATCCATTCCGCTACATTAGCCACTGTGCTAAAATTAAAAAATAATAAATTTTAGGTTTAGGACATATGTTCATATAAAGTTTTTTTCTTAAAATGGATCCAAGAATCACCCCCTTAAATATAAGCATGTCTTTATGGACCACCCTGTATACAGCTAAAACCTTTCTTTTCACATTTTTTTCACTTTTACTTTGTATCATTTTTACAGAATTCTTATTGTATGTGAATAAAATTCCTTCTTACATGTAAAACAACGATAACTTCTTTTTTTCTATAAATCGATTATTAAATTCCATAGTTAACGCAAAGCAAAAAAATGATAACAGTTTTAAGATGCCATCATAACAGTATAAATGCAACTATTAGTGTTTCAATTCAAGCAAAATGCGTTTACTTCTGCTTAATCTGCTTGGCTGTCTCGTAGTACCACGTGTGATTGCAATGGATGAAACTCATACATTGAAGACTAAATACTTGGATGTTCCGCTGGATCATTTTTCATCCTTGCCGAACGTAACCTTCAAACTAAGATATTTAATAAACGCCGATCATTACGTTCGAAATGGGCCGATTTTCGTCTTCACCGGGGGTCAATGCAACATCGAAACCTCAGCGGAAAACACCGGTTTCCTGTTTGACGTGGCCCCGCATTTCAACGCGTTGGTGGTTTTTATCGAACACCGATACTACGGAAAATCACTACCCTTTGGTAAGCACTTACACAGCATATTGTCATAAAGACAATTAACTTTTTCCAGTAAACATTTCCTACACTAACTACGAGCAAATGAAGTATCTAACAGTCGCTCAGGTTCTGCAGGACTATGCATTAGTAATCGAAGCATTACGAAAAACCTACATAAGCCACGCGAATTACACGAAAACGGAGAATATAATCGCTTTCGGTTCATATTACGGCGGTATGCTGGCGAGCTGGTTGAGAATGAAGTACCCGTTTGCTGTTAAGGGTTCCATCGCATCGAGCGTGCCTCTCTTCCATTTCCAGGGATTTCCTGGCTGCGATACCTTCTACGAAAAAGTTACATCAGTTGTCCAGCAACTCGGGCTCGGAAGGTGTATTAAAACGATCAAATTGGGATGGATGGTTTTATCGAGCGCCTTCACAACACCTTCAGGTACTCTGATATACAGAAATTAAATCAAAAATTTTTGCAACACCAATCGAGTACATTGCGTTCTGTTTTTATAGGTTTAGACTACGTCTCGACGAATTGGAGACTGTGCAAACACCTCCGCACTAACGCCGATGCGGATGCTTTGCTGGACTGGTTAAGGGACGTTTACGTGCAATTGGTGCTCTTCAATTACCCATTCACTTCTAATTACTACAGGCCTCTGCCTCCCTACGCCCTGAAGACCTTCTGCGACAAAATAACCACCGTCGTGTTCACCGACTCCAAGAGCTTAATAGAAGCCTTCGGCAATGCCCTCGAGTTGTACACGAACTACACTAAAGCCACTGCTTGCGTCGACATCGGCGAGAAGCGCGACGAGATCATGTGGAAATACCAAACCTGCACCGAGCTCGTCATGCCTTCGTGCACGACCAGCAGGGACATGTTCGCGAACGAGCGCGGCTACGAGAAGTACCGGCAGGATTGCCGGGCGAGATTCGGCGTAGCGCCCAAGCGCGATTGGATCAAGTCCACCTTCGGAGGCCACGACTTCGATTACTATTCGAATATGCTGTTCGCCAGCGGCGCTTTGGACCCCGTCGCTGCGGAGCGCATCTATTTCGACAATTCGACCACCTCTTCCTCGTTGATCTCGTACCAAATCGAACAAGCGCCCCATTTGATGGACTTCATGAGCGCCGATCCGGCCGATAATGTTCACGTTAAGCATGCGAGGAAGTTTTACGCGCAGGTTTTGAAGAAGTGGCTGCAATTGTAGTTGATTTTCTAACCCGCTTAATTAATGTGGGTTTGAATTATCCAGTATTAGTACTTATGGTAATAAAATCTATTTAGTTTGTATTCATTAAGAGAGTGAGAACGAAATAAAGTCCTTTTTGTTGTTACATATGTTTTCTGCCACGTACCTATGTTTTTGTATTTTGTATGACGAAAAATAAGATAAACAATAGGAGAGAATTAAAAAAACCATCAATCTATAAAAGTGGATAATAAGAGGAATGTAAGAAAACACATTTGAGGATATCTTGATGGGGATTTTTTAGATATTTTGCGTGTAAGATCTCTTCAAGATTGGCTATATAATTATGAGACACCTTGTATTTATCGACAATGACATTACGTTCGTTGTCAAAATTCTTGGTTTTTTGAAAATACCCGAAAAAGGTGGAAATTATGCAGCTCGTTATTTAAATTTCAGCAATAACAATAGTAAAATAAAACACAAAAGACACATTGATAAGAAATCGATCTGGCTAGATTGTAGACCTTGCTTGGGTTGGGCAATGCCATTTGATCACAGGGTAAGTACCATCTATAGTTTCCAAATTTCCGTAATATTAAAGTTGTACATTATTTTAATACATTTCAGAACGAACCTGTACTTGTCTTTTTTGTTTTAAAATGCATTTCCTAAAGTTGAAGTTTAACAATAAGACAGAAAAGGAGGCTGCTTTAACTTTTAGACTAGCTGAAGGTAGGGAAAATTTAGAAGAAGATGAAATTAGGAGTTCAAAATCGAACCCTATTGATATTTAAATCGGCCCTCCTACGCGTTGGGTAATTATGTCTTTTCACTTTTAGAAACTAATTTCTTGTCCAACGACAGGATGCAGTCGAGACATTCGTCCACCACCGGTGCTCTAATGGTTGGCCCCAATTTCAGGGTTGGTAAGAAAATAGGCAGCGGGAATTTCGGAGAGTTACGATTGGGTAGGAACTTGTACAACAACGAGCACGTTGCCATTAAATTAGAGCCGCTCAAATCCAAAGCACCGCAGCTCCACCTCGAGTTCAGGTTCTATCAGATGCTCGGCGAGCAGGAAGGTATATCCGTACCGCCATCAACATTCGTAAATTCATATTTTCATTGAAATATTAGGCGTGCCGAAAGTGTACCATTTGGGAACTTGCGGTGGTAAGTACAACGCGCTCGTCTTGGAATTGCTCGGTCCCAGCTTGGAGGATTTATTCTCGCTGTGCAGCAGGCGGTTCAGGTTGAAAACGGTGCTCATGATAGCCGATCAATTGTTGACTAGAATGGAGTACGTTCATAGCAATAGGTTGATTTTCCGCGACGTTAAACCCGAGAATTTCCTAATAGGCCGATCGAAGAATCGAAAAGACAAAATCATACATATTATCGATTTCGGATTGGCCAAGGAGTATATTGATCCCGAAACTGGAAAACATATTCCATACAGGTAACTGCTATGACAGCTATTCGCCTTGCGACAGAATTAAGCTGGTGGAAACATGTGAATAAGTATGTATAGACTAATAATAATTTGTTTTTATATTATTTTGCAGGGAACACAAATCATTGACGGGTACAGCTCGTTACATGAGCATCAACACTCACTTGGGCCGTGAGCAATCGCGTCGAGACGATTTAGAAGCGCTGGGGAACATGTTCATGTATTTTCTGAGAGGGTCGTTGCCTTGGCAGGGATTAAAAGCAGACACTTTGAAGGTATAAACTTTGTTAAACATATTTGGTACAGTCCAGCTAAATTATATTTTGTACATTCAGGAGCGTTACCAAAAAATCGGCGAAACTAAACGCGCTACTTCCGTGGAGACTTTGTGTGAAGGACAAGCCGAGGAATGGGCAATTTACCTGAGATACGTGAGGAAATTGGATTTTACAGAAAATCCCGACTACGATTACTTGAGGAAGATTTTTAAGGATTTATACTACAGAAGGGGCTACACCGATGATGGCATATTCGATTGGACAGGTGGGTTTATTTTCGATTTTGAAATATTACTTTCTTCTGAACTTTCAATAAATGAAAATTGTTTTCGATTTAATCTAGACAATATTTAAGAGTCAGTGCTGGTTGGTTAACTTCGGATACGAGGGCGAACCAAATATGACCAGAATTTTGATTTGAAAAAATTATTAGTAAATTAAATATAATTTTAAATACATCTTATTTTTCTATGTAATCTTCTCTTTTATTACCACAAATTTCCCCCCCAAATTTTCCGAAATCTGCATCAGTTATGGCTTGTTCTAAATTAGAATAAAAAAGGCTTGTTTTTAAAACAAACCTTTCAATTTACAATAAAAGAAATTACATATGAACTGATTAATTCTTGCAATTTTAATTTTACTCCCCATCCAAGTAAATTACTGAGATAAATTAAATGTTACATACAAAGTACCTACTTTTATAGTTTTAATAAAAAAATCAATGACAATTTTGTGATTACTACAACTTCTTTCTAAGTGAATCGTAAACTCATGAGGATTATTTTATCTCGAATCGCAGTAAAAGAAACCAGTAACGTTAACGTTGGGCCAAAGGTTATGCCGAACATATTTGAATCAAAAGCCGTATAAATATGGCGGAACGTCGTCGTTCCTTTTCAAAGGTAAATCGGGATACATTTCGGGTTCTCCTTTTACATAATGCTAAAAGCGGAACCTTGAATTGATCCTCTGACAATTTCGTCGGTATTAATTTTAATTACTTTATTTTCAGATCGACTCTCTTGGATAAACCCGGAAGAACGAAGAGAAGTACACAAAGCTAAAACATAAAAGTCAACTTAAATTAGTTTCTATAATTTTCAATAAATAACAGACTCCAAAAATTCATTCGCAATTTAGTTTTATTGATCTAGTTTAGGGCGCATCTCTTATTCGTTATGAACATCATAAAATCTGGTTCCTTTATAATAATGTATTTGTAAATTGTAAATTTATTACTGATTAGCCAATCTTTTGGTAGTATGACGTACCTATTTTTGGTAAAAGTAAATACATAGACAAAATAAAAGACAATCTCTCTTTCTCTATGAGTAAATACATATGTAAAGATTCTACAAATTCCTTTTGTGATTCCCATATGATACCGATAAGCTTGTAATACATAAAGGGTAATATTATAGCAAAGAAAATAAACTTATTGAAGATTAATGAAGAAATAAAATAAAAATAGTGCCTGGAGAAGACTATAGACAAAATAAAAGACAAGACATCTTTCTTTCTCTATGGAGAAGACATAAAGACATTTATTTTGTCTATGGGAGAAGACTTTGATCATAGAGAAAGAAAGATGAGAGAGTTCGATCTCTTACTAAAAATTGGCAACGCGTAGATGGTGCTGTTCCTAGTGGCTGGTCCCACGAACTAATGAAATATCGAGTAGATTTCTTCTATATTTCAAAATTAAAAATGGGTTATATATTCAATTTTATTTTTATAATATTGCTATATTGCAAATTAGAAAATAAGAACAACTTTTGTTAATATGAAATGTATTTATTTAAAGATATAAAAAATTTAATACATACATATAACCTAAATAGACAATACAATACATACAATTCAACATTTGAACATCATTCGACAAAATTAATAACATTTGACACTAATAACAAAAATATAAATAGAATACGTATATAATACATGTGGAATAGAAAATATATTAGAATAAATAGAAACGTAAAACAAATACAACCTTGTTACTTCGAAATCAGATGAGTCAGATCCCTCAGTTCCCAGGGCCTACAGCGTCCAATTCTTGTAGAGCTAACTAAAACAGAAAAAAATATGAGCAGCATCTAATTTAGGAAAATAACAAAAACAGTGAGATGTTTTAGAAAAACATAGAAATCAAATAATATAAGTAGATACCTATGTAGAAAAATGATCTTCACAGAGTCTCATTTGTTTGGATGAATGAGACAAACCTATAAATAATATCCTATAATATCAAACCATTTTTTCTTTCACTCAAATTTGAAGGGAATTTAAAAAAAACGCTTTTGAAGATTATCTTCGGGGGGACAAATTTAGAAATTTTTGCATCTTGGTGATGCACATTTACGAACCTTCCTTCGAATTGGTGTTGACATTTTAAATTAGCAAACAAATATAAATATAAAAAATAAAAATACTTACAATTTAGGTTAAGCACTAAAATGGCGTCTACATCACTAACGAAACTCACTTAATTAAAACAACGGACGGGCGACGACCGACGACCCGCGATCGCGATCGTTTCCATACGGATCTCATATAAAATTAGCCAATCAAAACAATCGAAATTCATTTAATTTTTCGATAGCAGCGCCTCTAACGGCTGGTCTCCGTTCTAAGGGCATGTTGTCGACTCTGTCCTATGCATTAAACAGTCTCTTTTATTTTGTCTATGGGAGAAGACTTTGATTGTGAAATAAGTGTCTGAATTGTATCGATGCCTTAGATATAAATCTAAAAAGAAGAATAACATAACCACAAAATTTTGACACTTTGACATTTCGACTTTAAGTTGACTTGTGTTTTGTTTTGAGTTTTGATATAATTAACGAATGGATCTATAGAGTTTTCTTACAAATAATATGTAAACTGGTTAGTAATATGTATTCTCATTTTATTTGATTATCACTAAGCAATAACCCAATGCAATTGATCGTTTAAATTTATAGTTTGTACCCCGGAATCAATTATTTCTCTCAGATGGTGTTACAAGCTATTTTTTAGTTTTCGTTATTTAGTGTTAATTCTTTTCGTACTATAACTATTGCCTAAATTAGAATCGCAATTTCATTATAAAATAACTAGGGACACTTAAATGTCACCCACTCAATACATTATTTTTTGAAGGTTTCAAGCGCACTGGAAAAATACTAATCAAAGAAAAGTCAACGATTTGTTACTCAAACTTTGCAAATTTAAGGACGTCTAGGATATGGTAAGTGAATAATATTACACCTTTACAATTTTTAACAAAATATTGTTTTCAGATAAACTGTTGATTGGTTAATTGTCCCAACGAAACATGTCATCTACAGTAGATCTAGTACTTCCGAAGGAAGAAGAGCCGTTTGGCTTGGGATGTGCCTTAGAATATTTTGCAGAACACGAGGAAATTTTCAACACCCTGGATAATCTCAAAAACATCGTGGATAGCGAAAATACAGTCGAGAGGACCTATGAAAAGTATTCGTTTATTCTCAATCAATATATTGAACAACCTCATCTGATAGATTCGCACATTACTCCACTATTAGAAAAGTTCATCGACATCATCCGAGATACTGAAAACTCGATGAAACTGAAACATTTAGCCTTTAAATTCATGTTTGTTGTAGTTAACGTCAGGGGTTATAAAGTTATCATGAGGAATCTTCCCCACGAAGTGTCCGATTTCGAACCGGTACTTCAACTCTTGGAGTCGCAGGCACCCGACGACGTCGAAACTTGGACAACTCGCTATATTTTATTATTATGGCTTTCTATAATAGTAATGATACCGTTCCACATGTCGAGGTTCGACGGTTTCATGAAAGATGGATCAGACCAACCGACCGTCATGGAGAGAATCCTTAATATAATCAAAGTATACGCGGTCGTTCCAGATAAATGCAGAGATTCCGCTGCGTATTTGTGCCACCGTTTCATCACGAGAAGCGACGTGAAGGAAAAACATCTCTCATCGTTCATAGATTGGGCCAAAGAGCTGAGTCTTTCCAACGGCAATGTCTTTGTAAAACAAGGCGCTTTGGCCTGCATTGCGACAATCCTAAAGCACGGCAAACGCGAGGACCTTCTGCCGTACGCGACAGACTTGCTACAATGGGTAGTAAGCGCGGAATTTAAGAATTTCCCCGGCGCCAATGTGCAAAAGTTGGCGTACAAAATCATCCAACGCATCGGATTGACTTTCCTTCCGCCTCGAATAGCTTCTTGGAGATACAGAAGAGGCAACCGATCCCTCGCAGCGAATTTAAGTTCAGGAGATTCCCACCAGAAAGTACCCAAAGTTCCCGCATGCTCGAAAGATTCCGATGAAATCGAATCTGAGGAAGTTATCGAAGTGCCCGAGGAGGTGGAAGAAGTAATCGATCAGTTAATACTAGCGCTGAGAAGTTACGATAAGGTCGTTAGATGGTCGGCAGCTAAAGGAATCGGTAGAGTGACAGGGCGGTTACCTAAAGATCTCGCTGACGACGTCGTGGGATCTATACTGGAACTGTTTAATCCCAGGGAAACCGATGGAGCATGGCACGGAGGTTGTCTGGCTTTAGCTGAGTTGAGTAGAAGAGGTTTGCTTCTACCCGATAGATTACCGCAAGTGGTTCCAGTCGTACTGAAAGCTTTAGTGTATGACGAACCGAAAGGATATTCTTCCGTCGGATCCCACATTAGAGATGCGGCTTGTTACGTGTGCTGGTCTTTTTCCAGAGCGTACGAAGGCAACGTCCTTACCCCGCACGTGAAAGACATCGCGGGCGCGCTGTTAATAGTGACGTGCTTCGATAAAGAAATTAATTGCAGGCGAGCTGCTGCGGCTGCATTTCAAGAAAACGTCGGTCGACAGGGTACTTTTCCACACGGTATAGATATACTTACAACAGCGGATTTCTTTTCGGTCAGCGTGAGAAGCACGGCATTTCTGAACATCAGCGTGTACATTGCACAATTTGAAGAGTACACATTACCATTAATAGATCATTTGGTGTCGCGGAAAGTGGATTATTGGGATTCCACTATTAGAGAATTGACTGCTAAAGCTTTGCATAATCTTACTTCTAGAGCTCCGGATTATATGGTATCGTCGGTTCTGCCGACATTACTGGAAAAAACTTGTTCGATAGATTTAAACGCCAGACACGGCAGCGTCTTGGCTATCGGTGAAATCGTGCTTGCTTTATCGGCTGCTAAGGACATTGCTCCACTAAATGAGGATTTATTGGAAAAGATTAGGTTGCTAATTTCGAAATTTCGCGAAAAGTTTTACTTCAAAGGCTTGGGCGGCGAATTGATGAGACAGGCGTGTTGCGATTTCATTCAAAAGTGTTCGCTGGCCCATTTGCCCTATCACGACGATCCGGTCGTGGACGATTGGCTCCTGTTACTCAACGAGTGCATTTCTTACGAAGTCGCGCATGTTCGTGCGGTCGCCATAACGGCCCTTCCGGCCTTGTTGCAAGAATATTACATATCGAAGTTGGAAAAGTGCGATGATATTACCAAAAAATACGTGACGGACCTTCTAAATACCAGCAGCGAGCAAAGTCGAATGGGCTATTGTTTGGCTTTGGGTGCTTTGCCTAAGCCGATTCTAGAAAGAAATTTGGATTTAATTATAACATCGTTGATCAAATCCATAGAAATAACGCCAAGCACATTGAAATGGGCTGAAAGTAGAAGAGACGCCGTGAAAGCGTTGACTTCGGTCGCTTTAACAATGGCCGATAGCATAGGCAAGGAATTCGCGACATCGAAAGTCAATGAAATTTACAATACGTTCTTGGAAGGTCTCAAGGATTATACGGTAGATAAACGAGGGGACGTTGGTGCTTGGGTAAGAGAGGCGTCGGTGCTTGGAATTCAAAATGTCACATTTTTCCTATCGAAGGTGCATCCACAAATACTAACTGCTGGATTAATGGGTGAACTTTTAACCAGGATAGCTCAACAAGCTGTCGAAAAAATTGATAGAACGCGAGCTCATGCCGCTCAAATATTTTATAGTTTTATACACACCGAACCGAAAATATCCAACATTCCGCATCACAAGGAATTGATGAAAATATTTCCTAAAGACGAATGTGACGTTTTAAATTGGAAATCTTCTTCTGTCACGTTTCCCAAGTTTGTCCAGCTCGCTAAATTACCAGCTTTTACGTACAATATCATGGTAGGGCTTATTTGTTCAATTGGTGGATTAACCGAGACTTTGGTCAAGGATTCCAGTTCGTCGTTCTTTTCAATGCTGAAAACGGAGGCTTCTCCTAGTTTTATACAAGAATTGAGCGATGTTATTCTGAAAATATTTATGGATTATCAAAAGATCGACAGGATTACAGTACCTATGTTTAGGTTTTTGGATAAGTTGTTCGATTCCGGCTGTCTGGACTCCGTAATTACCGTCGATAATTCCGACTTCATGAAAAAACTCTTTAAATTAATCCAGTTGGAAATTTCAGGATGCCGAGATATATACAAATTAATCGACGGGATTAACGTATTTTGTCAGTTTATTCATTTGAAAGGGGAAATATCTGATACAGCCTTGATTCAGCTTAGCATTCTCTTGTGTCATCGACAATCGTACGTACGAAGAACCACTTCCAGCAAATTGTATGAAGCCTTATTAGTACATGAGGAAGACAGCAAATTAACGCCCGAAACGTTGGAATCCGTGATGATGGTTCTCAGTTCCACCGATTGGGAGAAACCCGTCGATGAAATTCGGCCTGTACGTAACGAATTTTGTAGATTAATGGGCATTAGAACTCCAGTAATCGCTAAGAAAACCTAACATTATATTTAATTATATTTATATTTTTATAATTTATAACAAAATTGCTTTAAGTGTTTGGTTTTAACCAGATGTTTGTTTAATCACAGCCTGTTAAAAATATTTATAAAATAAAAGATTAATAATCTTTGTATTAGTTTTTTTTTCGTATTTACCGATTTTTTATAACAGCTATTACAATAATCGATAATTTGAGGATTTGGAAATTTAAAGTCTTCCTTTAAGGAATTTTCGCAATACAATTCTCCCTATTACAGATATACGACTGACGATAACAATCAACGTTTTACATCAGCAAATAGTAGGAAAATCGCACAAAGTGCGCGTCGAAGCCGCAAACCGCGAGATTTATCAAAACCTAAGTATTTCTGAAAGGCACAAAAATGAAACGTGAAAAGCGCGTCGCAAAGTTTAGCATGTTATCGACTCGGAGCGCTTACATTCTCTGATATACGCAGCTATCTAGTAATGTAAAAATTCGAATGAACGTCGTTTTGTTCTTTGAACGAGCGCTTCGATATTTTTAACTCGAAATATATTATTCTCCTTCGGGTAAATATAATTTATTGCAAAATCAAACAACGTTTTATTACGATCCGCGTATTGTTTCGCGTTTCGTTAACTCGCTGGAATGTTGCGGAAAACGGGAAGCTATTATTTTGGATTTATCATTCGAAATAATATATTATTGTCGAAGGGAATTGTACATCTAAAACTGCTTGGATTTTAAGATATGATTGTATAAAATAATACTATCCACAAAGAAAGGTATATTTTTGTTTTACATATTACAATAGTATATTACATAATAGAAACAAAGACATTTATATGCAACTTTCCTGTATTCGATTTGATGTTGTAACGACTTCGGGACCTCTATATTTGTGTGTGATAGTGTGGGAACCCTGTAACATGTTGATATTGGGAAGAGCGACATTTCTAGGCCTCTGTAGACTTCGGTAAATCTTGAAAAAATAAACAAAATTTTGAAACGCGAAATATTTGTATACACGAAAACTTTATAAAGCTTCAATTTAGTTATAACGATGATAAAACGAAATGCTACTAACCGTCTGACTGGAGGGTATAGGGGGGTTATCTTTGGCAACATATCTGAAGTCATATTCCTCTCCTTCATCGTCTAGATCGTCATCGTCTCTACTTTGAGGAGGCTCATAAATTTTCATAAAGCTATATGTTGGACGCCTTTCTGTAAATAAACAAACAAACAATTATCCTCCGAATGAATTCAGACAGCGAAATCTCACCGTATTGATTCCTGATGATGTCGGGATCCGCTCCTTCGACAGGTCCCCGTTGAGGAATCGGTTCGACGACCAGCGGCGGGTCCGTGTGCGGGGTGAGCGGCATCCGGACGCCCGTGACGGAGCCGTCCACTATGAGATCGTCGGCGGCTATAACGGCCTCCATGGGCATGTGCTTCGAGCCGTTATCCGTCGGTCTTTGGCACGCTCTTCCTCCGTGTATGTGCGCCAAGTGGCGGCGGCAAAGCGCCGCTAGTACCAAGCAAACTCCAGTGGCAAGAAAAGCGGCCGTGCCCAAGAGTCCGATGAGAAGAGGACTCACCGGCATCGAAGCGGTGGATCCTGCAAACCATTTGTACGTGTGTAAGCTAAATATACACAACTCTCCCCAGTTTTTGATAAATGCATATGCTTCCGGAGAAGTTTTATAGCCGGTCCTTTTTGAAACCGCCTTTTTCCTGTACTAATACCGTCAATTGCCCTCCGGAGTCGTTATCCCGGAATTTGAAATTTAAATGCAGATACAAGTTTATTGCCATGCATGGCGATGGCAAAAGGCCGACCGGAACGGCTGTTGAACGCATCTCAAATATTCCCCCGAATTAACTTCGCAAACATTACCAATTACAGCGGGTTCTAATGCTCTCCAATTGCGGATTCGACGCTTTTAAGGACCGGCTACTGGTGGGAAATTCGTCGAATTCACGAATTTAACGCGCGCGATAGGAAGAAATTCACCCGTTTCCAGTGAATTACGACCTGCCATGATTTATACGAAAGCTTCGCGATAATAAAAAATTATCGGATGGTTTTTCCTATGGCCAATTTGCGTTTTCGTAAAATATCCATCTAAAATAAATCTGCGCCGAGCTAAAGCTAATACATAAAGAACAACTTCCTCTTTACCCTATCGTTGACTTTGCGATCAAAAAGGGTAACTTTAATATTCCATGAAACTCTTTGTTGGTCCAGACATAAAGGTTTTTCTATGAAAAGATGGAAAAACGACCGAGAAATCGGCGACCGAAATGAATTATACATGACTCGGTATGAAGTATGGAAATTTCTATGACAGGAACGAACAGACCACTGCGCCAAAATATTATAATAAATGAGAAGGGAGGGAAAAAAAAACGGTATCGGAAGTGGCGTTTAGTTTTAGAGGTTTATATTAAAGGAAATCCGAAGTTTACTGGCTCAATTCCGATGTTCATTGACTTCATAATTTACCCTCTCATTTCCTATATAATGCAGAATTATCAACCCGGTAAATAACTTACAATATAATCTTAAATAGTAAATAACAGTCCAGCAAACTATGCCCTGTAGCTACCAATTTATGCGTACGTAGTTTTTTCATATTTTCTCCGCTTATTCGACCCTTTCCCGAAGTGAACCGAGGCGTTCCCCATGAGGGCATTCGTTTCTCGCCAGGGCCGCGAAACTTTCCCTTAGCAGGTCTCTTGAAAGTCCTTCAGCGTATTCGCGACAAACTCGCAAACTATCCCGGAGTTTTTTGGCCTGGAAAAGGGGACGCGCTGCCGGTGTCGCCTTATGGCACTGTCAGGAGACAATCTGCACTTGACCACACATTGTGTACCGTCGAAGCCGGGAAACTCCCCTTGGTCCGGTGCAAACTCGATTCGGCTAAAGAGTTCCGAAGTTATCTTATTCACCTACGATTATTTGGAAATGAACGGAGGAGAGGTGGCACATGCACTGGGAGCGAAAATTAATTATAAAAAAATATTAAACAAATTTATTGCACACGATTCGTTATTTTTATAATCTACTGGTGATTTGTTTTGATTTAATTAAGCAATATTTTTATAGTGGGGTAGTTTTATTTTACTGATGAATATTACTAGTATAAATCCAATGGCATTTGTAAGAGAAAATTTATAAAATCCAAAAAATCGTATGGCTCTCCAGCTTACCATCTTTCTTTTAAAAGTACGTACAGTTAATAACAATTTATCAAAGCTCCTGAAACAACGAAGAGCCCCGTGATCTTTATAAAAACAATAGAGCCCGCTCGAAATACGTTCCTCCATTGTCCAGGAAACGCTCTATTCTTCTCAATTCCAATGGAACCGAACAATCGTCGTCTCATTTTTTGCGCACTAATGTACGTATCTAAGTGGTCGACAAATTCCGCACATAATCATCAGCGAATGCCCAATAAAAAAACATCCGTTCCGTGGCCGGACCTTTTCAAAGGGAACAATACTTTTTCTTTGTATTTTTCGATGCGAATTAAAAAAAAAGAAAAAGCCGGCGCAACGCTATATTTCACCAGAAGTGGCGTGAAGCCCGAATATTTCCCGACGAGCGACTGCGCCCACAATGGCGTACAATTCCACAAACAAATATTTGTGCTAGTATAAAAATTAAAATCTACTTTACCGTGCACGAAGTTATGGTATAAATGGGCATTTGGTAAATCTATACAGGGCGTTCTCGAACTTATGGCACTAAATTCTAGGAGTGGTAGTTTGCATATTTTACTTAGTGGTAGTTCACAAATTTTTAATGCACTACCCTCGCCAACAAGATTTAGACTGGTTAATCAATTCTGGATAGAATTCAAGCAAAAAATATTGTTATAAGAAGTTTTTACAGTCGATGAAAATAATCCGCATGTTTTGTACGATTAATTTTGTCTGCATTTACGGTTGATTTTTGCTTTTCAATTTAATATTTTTAAATAAAATAAAACTATTTTCACACTTCACAAAAAAACACTAATTATTGAATACATATACAGGGTGTTCTTGAGGTGGTAGTTTGCATAATTTGAGACCGATTCGCAGATTTCATTATTCTAAAAAAATTATAATAAACAAAATAGAGCCATTAGAAATAAATGTAAAGAGCGAATACAACCCTGGCCTGAATAATCAGCTGATCGTAATTTTAACTCAAAAAAACAGATGCGGTGTATTTTATCAGCTAGCGCAAATTTCCCCCTCCGCCATCCAGCTTTCGAAAAACGTTATCGATACCGATTGTTTTCTAGTGCGAAATGTATTGTTTTGATTATAACATCGGGGTTAAATAGATTTTTGTGATTAGACTTTAGTGATTTAGTTAGTTCTTGTTCGTAATAGTGATGTTCTGGAACAATATTAAGCAGCTTTCAACAACAAAATAGGTAAGCTAATATTCCTTTCGAGTTTATTTTCTATATGTATATATGAACAGATTTTGAATGAACTTTTACGTTATGTATGGTTAATTTTGTGACTAACTCTATGCAATTAAAAACTGTGCAGCGCCATAGTGTATCCCCTAAAATGCATGAGAAGAGCTGAGCGGGATAACTATTGCGAAAATCATTCAAAATCGAAAAACCATACTGTTAAATCTAAACATTGGAACAGAAGTATCGGAGAATACAAAAAAAAATAGAGCGAGACAACAAAGTGAAAAGTAAACGTCCAACTCGCACAAGAATTAATCATGGCGCTTTTATCAGTCGCATTTTTATTCGAGAGAGAAAAAAATGGGCGACATCAGCAGGGGAACCGTTTTTTATCTGCCGTCCGCCGATTTATAGAAACTCCAATGGTGCTACGAGGAGCCTGCCGCAAGGGATATTACCGTCGTACATTTGAATCGAAAATGAATTTTCACGTCGTTTGATACTGCCTTTGATACGTGTCTTTCCAGAATAACTTTTTTTAGAAAATAGTTTGTGTCAAAAAAATATCTAAGTACTGATCGACGGGAACAGCTGAAGCCTTGATTGATTTAAAAAGGTATAAGACGAATCAATAGAATTACGGGAAAACCTTTAAAAACCCAGGTAGCGCGTAGAAATAATTTTAGAAAATGCCAAAATCTCAAAAAATCGACCAACTCTCATACACCAATATCCAGAATAAGTCGATGATAATGTAACTACAGAACTGTTAAAAAAAGTAACACTAATACAATTAATTATCTCACCATTAATCGAATTGCGGATATTCACAATGAAAAAGCGTATGACGAGCCCTTTGTGCGTATAATTCTTGAGGATAACCAAATAACGAAAAACCTATTATCTCGATTTACCCTTTGTACAAATAAAGCATCTATAACTGGTTAAATGGAGGAGCCTAAGGAATTGAATTTCTAACTAGAGCGTTTCTCCCTTTCCATCGGCGCCATTGCCGTTCCTACAAAGGGAATATCGGTATGGAGAGCACAAAGGCAATATAACCTAATTCTTTCTAGTTCGCTAATTAATCCCAATAAATGAAGTTGTAGACCCTTCCCTGAGGACTTTCTGGAACGCCGGCGAAATTACGGGGGGTAGCCTGAATAGCCATTTGATTGGATTACGCATCTACCTATACCCGTTTTCGTTTTGTAAATTATTTTTGGCCATAAACCCATTAAAAAGTTTGCAAATATCAATATCGCATTCCGTGTGGAATCCGTGTCAACCGTGCTCTGCACATATCTGTCGTACGACGTTCGTTGCACGAAAAGATTTCTATTTATTATTCTCCCCTTTTCCTTCTTGTGGAATTCTCACACCCCCTTGACATACCTTGTAGTTTAGCGACGCCCTTGAAGGTAACCGGGTCGATGATAGTGGGATCGCTTCTGCCCTTTGCATTCTCTGCATACAGGATGATCCTGTAGCTGGCCCCGGCATCTAGACCGTTTGTTGTGAACGAAGGAGGCGTTTTGTACGTGGTCAGGTTAATTCTCGGTCTGAGATTGGGCAATTCCAACACCTCCATCAGGAAACTTTGAGGAAGCCCGCCGTCGAAGCCTTCTAAGCAGTCGACTTGTAGGGAATTGGACGTGTGATTGATCACCGTGCAATTCTGCAACTGGGAAGGTCGACCTGGAAAATAACCGGATTTAGTTTCACTGTGTATGTAGTAAAGTTGCAGACGTGATTTTTTTAATTAAAAAACACTGCTCCAGCCATGAAATGATACTTAATTAACATTGTTATTTTAATCATGCACATATTAAAACAAACCTGAAAACATGAAGGCAGGTATGTTTATTTTCTGAATTTTACAGAAATTAGATCGACCGTACGCAAAAACAATATTTATTTAAACTTTTCCCCTGCCTTTTTTTTAGTGTCCTAATTGACAAAACTTGAGGGAGTTTGCAAATGTAATGATACACGACCTAACCGAACGAAAGTAAAGTATGCTTAATGAATATGCATGTTTCAGAAATATAATATTATGTTAAAATATGCGGCTACGTGCGGGTTATGAAGCGAATGGTGGATTTTTAAAAAATTCTTCCATCAAAAATTGAAATGAGAATACATGTAGATATCGAGGTGGTCATTCATCTCGTTCGGTTGCCGCAGATGGAATGGTTTAAAGGATTTATTGAATTTTTATTAAACATATTACAGTATAGGTACTACACATAAATAATAAATGCAACCTGATTATTAGCTAGTGAGTACAATAGTTTTGTTATATTTTTTGTATATCAAATTTGAAGTCTTTTTGTTCGATATTTTAGTCATGATTTATTTGTTCATATAAATTTATTACTGTATTTACCCACATTTTGTGCATATTATTTTTTGATTGATATTTTACATCACGAATTGTATCTAATTAACTCATAATATTCTGTGTAAAATTCGAATAGAAATTACGTGAAATAAACAGTGACGAACACGGAAAATTTTCCCATATACGCAACAACCATCCAATGATAAAAACGAAATGAAACCGGATTAATCTTGACATATTGTGTTAACACGCTTCGCTACGTGTTTTTTCAAAACTAAATGAAGCTGATATTGAAACAAATCAAACACACGACCCGCCTTTCAAACGAACTAGGTCGCATTTTACATTTCCTGCATTTTAGATCCGAATCAAATTTCAAATGAGCCACAATTGTGCTCTATGTAGCAGTTTCATGTATCCCGGCCGGACCTAAACTTAGTTTACGTAGCGCACTATGCGGGAAGATATGTTTGAGAATCACTTTGTCCAAGATATGGTAATGAAATGAATTATTCCGAGAATTGTTAGCCAGAAATGTGGCTATCTCGCCATTTCCAAATTGATATAGTCCTTTATTAAAACGGCTCGCCTAAGTTGGATGTGTTGTTGTAGATTATGGTGCCCGCAGAGGGTTGAGTGTGAATATAATAATGCTTAATTCCACTATCCACATCCTGCGATACCGTTTTCACTAAGAGTAATGAAATTTGATTTCGGTAAATAATGCAATTAGTTTGAAAATTAGCCAAAGAAAGATGCTTTATCGTGAACATCATAGTACCGAAGTGAATACCATAGTCTTATAGGTCCTTTAAAAGGGAAAATGAGCTAAAATTGCTCGGTTCAATGATATAAAAGTGTCTTTTTACTATTACAAGGGAAATTAATATTTTCTGTTCGTATCTAATAACACCAAGGAGAAAGGGTGAAAACGCTCAATTAAAATTCTATCTACTTTCATCACTCCCTTATATCTTGTCCTTTATTTTAGTAGGAAGGCTTGCAAACTCTAATTCGTTTAAAGCGCGACTGTATTGAATTAAATTATACCTACTCTTACCAACCTAACTACAAAGCGAGGAACTAGGGAACATAAAAATATAAGAAAATTAATTAACAGAGTAAATAGACTTCATTTATTCTCTAGTAGGTGTGTAATTAAATTAAAATCACTTTGAATAAAATAAGGCGCAAATTAAACCAATCTACCGAATGAAAATAAGGCAGAAAAAATAAACGGAACCCATTCAATCGAATTAAAAATTTTGAGATAACCATTCCGAACCCATGGACTACATCACGTTTCACCTCTTAGCTGATTGGAATCAAGAAATATCAAACTCGTTAACGTCACAGCCCCAAAATGGAATTTCCAAAGGTTGAGCAATCGATGTAATTCAGCGAAACTCATTCTCCAGTCTAAACTTTCCTCAGACAATTACCCCAAATTAAATGTTGGTAGTTGTTAGTGGAGTTTTTCGCACAATTAGGTAATTAGTTTTGTTCCGATAAACTTTGCGATTCACCGGTTTTCCTTATTTAAATTATTAAAATTACTTTCTCAATCGATGAAGCGAAATAAGGAAATAATTATGAATGGGATTATGCCATATGTTCTACTTCCATGTTCCATTTTACACATTTAGAATAAGAAGTGTTTAATAATTTAGATACTTCTCTCGCATGAAATTTTAACGTTAATATGGATTTCATTATAAAATATTACAACTTCATAAACTTATTATAAGCTTCGATACAAGTTAATCTACGGAACTAAATATAGATATTAGCTACCTATCTATAAAAGTATTTTTATAGTAAGTATAGGTATAACAGAAAAGTTTAGATCGATGTCAAAAGTAACCAATTTTTAGCTAAATGATATAGAAGGCGGCAAATTTAACACCAAAGTCTCTCACGCAATCACGAAGTTTAAATTTGAAGTACAGTGTACGGATGTTTCTGAACTTCATGCAAATAATTTAATGGAATTTTGTGCACGAGAGTTTTAATGCAATTATACGAAAAATGTACCTAAATATTAAATACGTAGGAGCGGATGGACAGGATTTATCTAAGTTATTGTAAAATGTTGATACATAAAGAGATTCAAAACTGAAATATTAGTGAAAATTAAATTTAAGAATGCGGGAATCGACCGACCAAAGAAAATTCAACAAACATTATTTACAATTCAACACATACTCCCGTTTAACATGCAGTCCACGACTCCGCAGCAGCCTCCGGCCAAACGAAGATTTGTGCTTTGATTCGGAAAAAATTGGATTGTGTTCCACACATTTAATTGTGATCGATTACTTCGTTTATTCACGGCGGACGCGTTCGCTGACGGGGGCTTTGAATACCAAAAACGTTGGAAAGGCATCAGAAAGGGTTAGGTTTGTGCAGAATGCGGAAAATTTTTAATGTCTTTCGGGTTAGATACCAGCTCTTCTGGATACGAAGGGATTTGTACATGGAACGTTGGACGCCACCGCAGCTCACAAATCTCGATTGTGAGCCTTGACCCTCCGGGACATTTTTTTAACTTAGTTATTGATGAATTCGGATGCAAAAAATGTGTTCCAAAAGAATCAAAGAATCGAGATCGTTTGCCTACCTGCTATAATTTGGAATGATAAAATCTACAAGATATGATACATTGTAACACTCGCTATAAATATTTTGGAAAGCTTGTAAAATTATTATTATTTGATAATAGATACGCTTGAAGAAATTTTAAATCTAAAACACATGCAATTTACCTGCGACGACGACTTGGAATATACAAGGATCCTTCTGTCTCCCAATTTCGTTCTCGCCGTAGCACAACAAGGTGCCGTAATCCAAATCGGTAGCCGGCGTGTAATTTAGCCTGGAAGAGGTCACTTCGTTGGTGAATTTGTCGGGCGGGACGTCGCTCTGATCGCCGCTGTTGTTGAACGTCCAATGGAACGCCACTACAGCCGGATGAGCGTCGACGCTGCACCTCAGAATTACGGTTTCCTGCTTGAGGGCCCCGTACAGCTCTTCGTGGTCCTGGATGCACATGGGAGCATCTGGAAACGGAAAAACGTTTGAAGATGTACGAGAAACTTGGCCATTTGTCGATTAGAGTTCTCGGAGTTCGCCTGACTCGCACATCAGTAATTAGATCATTGATTTTTTCATACTTTCATATAAAAATAAATGAAATATAGATTGTATTATAAAGTGGAAATTTAACAACGCCAATCAATCACACTAAACTAGAGAGTACTTAGGCACTTTGAGAGAATTTTCATTTCGCATTATTGTAAAATTGCAAAAAGAATAACGACAGGGAAAAAAGAGAAATTACAAACTATCAGTCAAGAGTGACTGCTAACACTACCGACACTTCGAATAATGGAAATAAAAGCGTTTTAGCTAAAATCGTTTCCATGAAATTGTTCACTTCCATATCACCGAAATGGGATCTAAAAATTTTACCAAACATGAATGGGCTTTGGCGAAATGTCGATACCAATTTGAAAGGCGTTAATCGCTAGGGAGAGAGTCCCCTTTAATCGATATTAACTTTGAATTATTCGAAATTAATGCGAAATTAAGACGGACAAACGACCGTTCTCCAAAACGGGAAACGAAATTAATTATGGACCTCAAGTTCTTAAAAAAATAAACTTCGTTTCGAATTGTAATTTTAGTGAAACAAAAAAGATTTACGGAGCATGACGCCCCCGTTTCGGAAAAACCATTGAAAAACTTTCAAAATGCTAATGTATTCTTCGAAAAGTTTTTCACTCATTGGAAACAGAATCCTGTATTACCATAAAAACAAAATTAGGTCTTTTTTTGTTCGTTTAACGGGAACTCGTTTTTCGAAACAAAACGATCAATTAAGTCATTTTCTTAGAATTAAAAACGGAATTGCTATAATTATTTTTTGAATTATCTACTATTCTTTGCAGGTCCGGAATGAAGACATAAAGTAATATGTTTTTCGAATTTGTATCATTAAAGATTCTAATTAGACTTATACTTCATGTTGTAAAATTATATTTTTATTAGATAATAAATAAGATACGAGACGATGATAATGAAAAAAAAATTCACTTTAGCAAATTAACTTTGCACCAGTCCTGTTTTCCAACAAATCCCGAATAAAAACTTTTAAATTAGTGACGAATGGAAATTGTAAATTATGAAAAACAGCTGAAGCAGTCAGAAAAAAACTAATAATTCGATTATCTCTTCTTTCTTAATGTAATTGTGCTGTACAAAAAAGGAAACAAGTTTCGGCCCTTAACAGAAAAATCCATTCTCGTAATTAAAATAGCTGAAACTTTACGTCGTCCGTTCCATTACGGCGCTGAGTCTTCCTACCACTGGGAGGAAAATTAATTGTAACAACTACTTATAAATGCCGAGGATTTCGTTTCTATTAATACCTTAAGAAACGCAGCTTTTGGTTGCGCAATTAGATGCTCTGAATTCATACGAATCTACCTGTAAGTACACCTTTACATTTCTCGTTGCCGAAATAACACGCCTGTTACATTAACCGGGAAATTTAGGAAAAGTAGATTTGAATATCAACTGACAGTAAAATTTTTGAAATTGAAAACATCTTTTACAAATTCTATAATTAAATAACTGAACGCAATTTTTATTTAGTTGATCATATTCTCTTTAAAATATAATTGGATGATTTTTAACCTATAATTTATCTACTGAGGTGAATCTAGTGAATATCAACGTAAAAATATGTTCATCCAATCTGGTCATTTTACTACACCAAAATATATTTTACGATTAAAAGATAGTCCCAAAAGAGTCATTTAAGTACCAACATACCAAAATTATATTCACCCGTTACTTGGCAATTTCAATAGTTAAAACGAAGTAAGGCAAATCGACATGGTAATTGCACTTTTCACTTTGTTGGAGACTTCTCTGCAGAAGTTTTGCGTTGGTGGGCAAATATAGTCCTGTTTGTTCGGTACAATAAGTTTATTATCAACAAAAGTTGTGGACAAGCAAGTTGGCATTTCGATATTCAAAACTTTTTGATTGTTCAAAGCTTATTTGCCAAATTCGACATGTAAGCGATTAAATTCATTCTTCATAGTTCGTTGCCTTAATATTTTATTGTACGATTTGAAATAAGTTTCTTGATAGAATCCGTGAGAAGAATAGAATTGTTAAAAAACTAGATTAGAATAGTCTAGTCTTTGGGGAAATTGGATTTGAACAAGTATTATACCTATTATTGAGTCCATTCTAGGACATATTGTAGGTACATACATTCTGCATTGATAATATTATTATCCTGCCAAAACAATAGCTTTAAAACCAAGCAGAATCAATTCAAAAGTGTTAATAATACGGGCCTGTTAACAATACATGCCGGTGTAGCTAGGCAGCATTTCCATTGAACTTGGAAAATATAATTGCCCGTTGGCAGACGAGCCCTATTTAAACATGCATGTCACAAAAGAGGAAACTTTTATCAAATTTTACCCCTGAATCCTTAGGCCTCGCTAGCATTCATCTAGCTAATGAAATAACATACTTTGCCATTCTCTATTCATATATCAACGTTGCGTAGATATTAGTAGAGAAAATGAAAATGATATTAGAAAGTTGCCGAGTTATTCACCGTGGAACAGATTAGTTTGTTCGGAATATGAAATAGTTTGTATCCCGGATCCTGACTAGATTTTATAGGTGTAAAACGAATGAAAAGTTATTCTGTTAGGTGGAATAGAAATTATTTATTTTTAAAATTATATAATGCATGTTTAATGTTGAAATTAATAAAAAATAAACCATACAATTATATACGGTAATTCAATCTATCCGGGAGTTAATATTTCTCAAACTATTTAAAGTTGTAAATGGAGCAGAATACTCGAACCAACAGTGTTTAAATAAGTAAAAGTTCGACCGTAATGCTCAGTACTTTGCAAAGTTTCTTGGCAAGATGTTACCCAATTTTTAATTATGTAAAATATTTGCATCTGAAACTCATTTCGTAACTCCGCAGCGTGCGAGTTATATAAACATAATGAAATTTGAAAAAAATTGCAGATACTGGCACTGCAAACAGGACGAAATTTAATTTTTGCGGAAAAGCTGCTCCAATTTCGTAACGTATAGATCGATTAGAGTAGCTGCAGCCCCTAAAGTTATGAACGCAGTTGCAAAATATTATTTTCGTTAAATAAATTCAATTCGAAAACACAATTAATCGAATTTTTATAATAACTATTTATTAGTTGTGTGGTTTTATTAAGCATCTTGTGCTATTCCTGCTATGTTCTAATTGGTTTAGAAACTTGTTATTACAGAAAAATTTGGATGGCAATTCAATTTGCTGGAAGTTTCCTAAAAATGGAATTTTCAAAATAAGGTTCCTAAAATTCCTGGTTGTGTCGTACGGTTCGAATATTCCTTTGCATTTTATGGTATTTTATGGTCGTCCCTGTTCTGTTTTCATTCTACGAATATCATTTCGAACGACTTTACGTGTGGCATGCGAAATTCCAAAGTTTTGTTTATTTTACTGTTCATTTTATATCGTATTCGAGTCGCCTATATTCCAACATTCGGGCTTATACGATTATGTTAATTTTCAACGAGTTTTGAATGGATAGGTACTCTCTTTTCTTATTTATTTTCTTATTGATTGCGCCTATTCCCAATATCTCCACAACATTCTTTCTATTACAGAAATACAAGTAGCTGCAAATATTTCAGGCATTATTTAAATGAAAACTATTAAAAATAATATTAGTTATTCAACTTGTCTGTTTATATTTATAATATCAATCACATATTCTTTTAACTTTAATTAAACTAATGATTTATCGCTTTATTATTAATGATTTCAACTACTTTTCAAATTGATATCATAAATCACGGTATATAGAACAGTAGAGAACAGACATGCTTTTAGGTAAAAATAAAATAACTATTTCCAAATACCCATTACCGAATAATTCCAATGGACCCGTTATTCCATTGATAGAAATATATCAAATGAATCATTAACTCCCTTTCAAAAAATTCGAAACATCCAGCGGATGTGTTGACAAAACGAAATAATAAATATCGAGTTGGAAGTTGGGATGTGGCTTTTGGATTTCTTCCTTTTTCTCGGATTATGCTATGAAATATTTGAAAATACAGCAGGAATATTCACGTGGAAAATAAAGCTGATTTACTTCAGCGCGTATTGATTTATAAAAAGGAATTTTCGGTGACAGACGTTAAGCATAACAGTTATAATTACGGATAATCGTTTATTGTTAAAAGCTTGAATGTGATTGAATGATTGATTGTTCGTGCACTCACCATTCAATTTGCGTTTCTTTGTTTACCGCAAATGATGCTATAGATAGTTTTACATTATATTAAACCAAACATGCATAGAAACTCGATTAAATTGTAAACTTCAGAGTTTTTTTTTAAATCACCAACATTTGCCTACTCAACTTGACACTGGACGCTGAAATTCCGGAGTACTTGTATTTCAATTAAACGAAGTTTTTTCATCCGTATATCAGTGTATAGGTTTCCTCGCGCTATTGACGCGTTCCCACATATCCGGCGTCGAAATGAAACGCTAACCGAAAATGAAAAGTGAAACACTGCTAGATATCGAAAACGCTTTGAGCCGTATTCGTATCAGCGAAAAAGGAAATCGTCAGTTCACTTTGCATACTAAAATTCGCAAAGGCACGAAAAAAGCCGTTTTGACATTTATTAGTCCCGGGAGATGGCTTTGTTTCCCGTCTCCAATTCGGATCGCATCAAAATATTCATACTGGCAGATTAATATTTTATGCCGGCGATTTCCGGTGTTTCCACATCGATGGAACGTCATTATTGTTAATTCGAGAGGTATTTATTCGATTGAGTTGATATTGGAAAATAGTCCAAGTGCGTTGAATTGGAAGCAATATAAGGTTACCTACCTACGTATTCAATTTTTTCGACGGTTCAGTAATATCAATGGCAAGGACATAAAACTGGGGAATATTAATTAAAAATCAGGCTGCTTTGTTTCCCGTCTTTAATTCAGATAGCATCACTATAAAAGATGAACATTTTTTGCTGTCGATTTGCTATAATTTCAGTTCGTTGGATTAGTATTAAAGTATTAGAGTGGAGATTGCTAAATAAAGAAAATAGCGTATTAAATATCATTATTCTCTTGCTAAGAACCCTAGATTTTTGATAGACCCTTTTTTTTAGCTTTTCACACAAAAGATCGTTGAAATTTATAGTATGTTTTGCACCCTATCTTGAATCCAAATTGTATCAAAACGGGACACTTCATTATCCCCTCGATTTCAAGGGTTTTTCCTCCACTAAATGGTATTTAATTATTCTTAATAGAAGAAATGGATTGAACTATTCATCATTATCTACCTAGATTACAAATACGTATACCTATAATTTATGCATCTATTTATAATGGAAATGTTAAACATTTAATCGAAATAACATATTTGCTCTACTGTAATACGTGATTCTGAACTTACATCTGACAATCAATTTGACTGGGTTGCTGATTCCCTTTCCTTCGAGATTTGTTGCCATGCAGGTGTAATTTCCTGCTGTCGATCTGGCAACATTTTGTAGTACTAGACTTTGATCGCTCATTATAACACCGGCCGCAGCATTCTGGAAAATTTCCACACCCTAAAAATGAAACGAAATCGATTTACTAAACGAAGACCAATGCGACCAAATTCTAAATGTTTGTGAGGAAACAACACATTAGTATATTAGGAAAAGAGCGATTGCAAACAATTCAGTAGGCGATATTACTCTATTTATTATCTATCAGAATTTCAAAGTTGTTAAGAAAAAGTTTGCGAAAGTTCTTAGGAATCCCCTAAGTTATAGAATTACATTCAGTATGAAGATCGATTAGCAGAAATATTCTCAAGAGTAGCGTTAGCTATAAAAATCGATGATTATACCGGACAAACGAGTAAACAGAAGCGAACGAAAAATTCACCAATCCTCCGTTATAAACTATAATAAGCCTGAAATATGAAAAACTGGTTAAATGAAAAATATAATACTCACATTGTGAAACCAGGATAGCTTGTGATTTTTCGGATTGGCCTGCACCAGGCATTCGAAGTAAACGTCGTCGCCCTCTTTGATATCATCGGGATTTAGCGACGTTCCCATCCTCAACGTTACAATCGGAATATCTGAAAAATCAAAGGGAGAAACTCACTTTTTCCGTCGCAAATCGAACGGTATGAATTCGATCTTTCTTTCGAAGTTTAGTCTCTTTAATTTAGCCTTTCCGATTTCTTCGCCATTGCAGTAATGGGATCGAACGCTGCAACGTACAACAGTAAAATGGAAGTTTTACTGCAAACAAATGCAAATTTATTTTTGCCGCTCCATCGGCGTGGGATATTTTCCGATTGATGCAAAAGTATAAAGAAAGATCGATGCAGCGAAATTAACACTTTCATGGAACAATGAAAAGAATGAGAATTGCACCAATTTAATGCCCTCCAGTAAACTCTGCAATTGCGAATGTATTGCTAACAGAGTATAACATTTGTACTTTTCTTACAGTTTATTGTTGAATGTTATAGTTTCTTTTCGGAAAAGGCTTAACTTTGAGAGTCCTCATTTTATAAGGACCCTGTATATTGTATTGTTTGGTTTCCTTTAAATGGAGTTTGTGATAGAGCTCTAATAACTGTCAATGCGAATTAGCCCCAAAACAAAACGATCAAGTACTTAAGTTATATTGGCGAGGACGTAAATACAAGCTATCGCGCCATTGTGTTCACTTTCGCTAATGATACAGATTGTAATTGATAGAACGTTATTGTTTATTTTATGCCCAACGATGGCATCTTCGCCGTTAAGGCGCACACATTGATTACTCTAATAAGTTTTAATGGGTAATGGTATTATTGGCGTCGCCTTTCGCGCTTTCATACCGATTTGTTGTCGTAAAAGAAAACATTACGGATCCGCCTTTAACGGTATTAGTGTAAATACACAGGACAAAGAACCAAAGGGGTGAAGGAACGTAATCAATATTGACATATCGAAATATTTTTATTGGCATTCTATTAGAATAAATTTAATAAATTAACCCTATATGAAGTAGTTGTTGATTATCTATAAATCATATTAAAATGTTATCGAATCAGATTAAATGAACAATTGCAACTAATTATTTTAAGTAATCAATTCTAATGATAAATACAGTTTGTTGTATTATTGCGGTGAGTAAATTACATTTTTCTGCTCACATTTAGTTATTTCTGATTCAATAATTTTCGGATAATTCAATAAAAGTGATATTACAGTAAAATAATTTATCGTATGTTTTTTGTTCATTAAATTACCTGAAGCGTTGGAAATGAAAACCGGTCAGATCCGTTTCCCGCGCTCGATCCGTTGCGAATGTTGATCCACAGCTTGGAATAGTGGAGTTAGCCATAGTTTGTGGTAATATGAAAATTCGCCCGTATCGGACCAGCGCAAATAATCTCTCCATCAAAATTGCAAATGGAAAGAAAATAATAGCTCCAAAACGAACACACCCATTTGTTTATTTAAAATGTAATAGGCTGACCGTTCGGAATTCAACCGTATTGTTACGTGACAAATTCAATTTAGAACCGCAAATTCGAATTATTCATTAGCCATTTTCGTTCAAATGTTAGCTCGTCGGGAATTAAAGGATTTACGCAACCTCCAAGTATTGTATAAGGTAGACAATCCAACTTGAACGTTGTCAAAAAAGAAACATAAAAACAATATTTCAAAACAACAAAAGCCAACATTTTTTCGCGTTATTAATTCTTCAACTTGGTCGACGCGAACATCACAATCGAGAAATTCCAACACAATGCCCCGTTTAAAAAGTTCCTCGCGTTTCTCATTAATATCTGGTGGGTGTCGCTCTATTCCGGTACAACAATCCCCCGGAGACAGAAATATAACTTACAATGGACGTTTAATCTCCACTTGTCCTCCAGGGCGCTATCGGGGATGGACGGGTTCTCCGCTCGACATGTCAAGTATTTGCCGTCGTCATCGATCACCGGCACGAACGTCAAAATGCTCAAACTCTGATTGTTCTGCTCCGAGAACTGAAACAAACAGAAGGTTTATTGGTTTTTAATTTGCCGGGCCGGGAGAGGTCGAAGTGAGATGAACTCCGTTTTACTGAGCGTCTGTCGAGGAAAGTTCCGGATACGACCAGCGGCGCAGTTTGCGAACGCTTTGAACTATCCAAGAAAAAAACTAGGAGTTACAAACTTGTTTTAAAATTACTTAAAGTTTTTTAATTATTCGGATAATTCTATAATAAAATTTAATTCAGTTTGAAGATGAGACTGTTGATTGCATGCGGAACTAAAAGTACTAACAAGAAAATGGTATTTAGTCCATCGGTACTTAATTGAATCAAGAAACTCATCGCCATGTAAAACTTTGTTCAATCCTGGGTCTACATATTATGTATACAGTTTATAAATATAAATAGAAAAATATTCTTTCCCCGGCTCTGAAGTGATATCTTCAAATAGAAGTTGGAGGTGAGACATTTGAGGAAATAAGATAAGTGCGACGGGTTCGTTATATTCTCGAAAAATAGATTAGCGTAAAACAGAAAGAGACGAGAGCTTAGAGGTTTTACCGATATTAGTTATAAAACGCTTTTAGTTGTTTTATTTCCTCGAGTTAATCTACCTCAAAATTACGGCGGGTTTTATTTCACGCTGTAAAACGTTATACTTATTGAAAATGCGAGTGTGAGTCCTTTAATTTCTATTTAATAATTCTATTATTAAATTAAGAAGGCGCCATTTGGAGAACGATTTGTGCTAATTTTCGTTTTCAAGGGAGCTTTGTATTCTCTAATTCGATATAAGAATAAAATTTTAAGGGCCATTAATTTTCGAAGTTCTCACAGCAACCAGATCGCAGCAAGCTTGCTTTTGAGGGCATCATCCCCTGTCAGTCTTGGAATTCATTCTTTATTCCAGCCGTGAATAGGTCGTTTCTAACAAAACAACTGAGCAGGATACCGAGATTAACGTTACTTTTATCTTAATTCACGTGAAAATTGGATCTTCAATTTACGACGGCCTGCAAATTACGAGTATTGCGGTGCTATTTCATACTTTTCAGAAAAGAAAAAATAATTCTTCGGGCGATTTAACTTTAAACGAAAATCATGATTGGCAGAAATCTATTTTATAAGTACTCTTAAGGGTATTTAAAATATCAATGCTTAATGAAAGGGTCTGTTGAGTTAGGATATTCCATCGAAATTGTACCTTTCATAAATTCATACAGTCTGTTTGAGTTGGTTGCTTAGCGAGCGAAATGTATCAAATTTTCAAATAAATGCGGGGTCGTTTATTTGCTTACGATATATTAAACTAGGAAGCCGAGCAGAAATGGCCGTAAAAATTAATTTTAGCCAACTACAGCGCTCCATCGTACATGTATTTAATCTACAAATTCATTCTACCATAGCAAAATTTAGCAACCAAACAGGAAATTACGCACAAACAAACAAAATTAATTCCAATAATGACTATAACAGGATATTAATAGGCCGATTTTGATATAACACGTTTTGGCTTGTATGCCGCAGAACGGAATAATAATACTGAAAGATCGTTATTGGTACGGCAAAACGGACTAATGGGTAATTATTAATAGTGTTTGAATTCCTGGCGACAATTAATTTTTTATGCAATTACATTTAGTGCTGATAAAATAATCCATATTTAAGTTTAAAAAATTCAAACATTTTCTAAGCAGGTATCTAATTCATGCAACAAACACTCCAGTTGATTATCTTTCAAATTTATAAGCAAAGTAGAGGCTAAGGAATTTTAGAGTGTGAGATCAGATGTCAAAGATAAGGTAAATTGAACTAAAGTGCTACTGAAAATAACAATGCTTTTTTAAAGGGTTTAATGTAATGTATACTGTATATTGGGCTTTTAACGTAAATTGAATTGATGAGATCAAATATCAAAGTATGCCTACATCATCCATAGTATACCCATCCGGTTATACCGGAAGTAAGGAAAAGTTGAAAATATTTTCATTGAATAGAGCGCATCGACTAACATTTGTAGACAAATTTCCAAATTTTAATCACCACTACTTTTCCAGATACGTCTAATGGGCCATCGTCGTGACACACATTGTATAATGTGAGATATACACCTTGGTTAATTTTAGTTTGCAATATGGCCATTTCTATGAGTTGAACAAAGAAAGATTATTAAAATAACAGTTGTTTGAGTGAAAAATTGCAATGACACAATATCACTCTTTGTTTTTTCCTTTATAAGTGTCTAATGGATGTCGTCTTTATCGTACCCACAGCCTATATAACCTATATTTTTAACTAAAATAAACCAAACTGTATATTAAAATCAGTCATCAGTTTTTTTCGAAACAACTTATAAAATTGGAATGAATAGATTTCCCTAAAAAACGCATTAAAATTAAAGGTTTTCTTTAGATAATGATTGCAAATTGTGATGAGTATCTTCTTTAAATCACTTTGTACATTTTTATGAGCCTAAAAACGGAACAAAATCGAACTAAGCTTCATTTATCGACCTAAAATTTCGTCAAAAATAGTTTATTATACTCTATTACTTCTATTAATCTCCGCATGATTCATTCTCAAATTGTCAATTATGATAAAACAAATACGTGTAAATTTTCATCTACGTTTCGAACAAATGAACTATATCGGTCGTTTGTTACGCTCCGTAGATTTAAATGTGTACACGTTCTATATATTTTTTTCGTTTCGATTTTAATAAAACAATTTCACGTAATTGGGCAATTTTGTTTCCGAATTATTCAATAGATAACTCGAATATGCATTATTAATCGCAGCTTTGTTCGTGTTATTAATTAAACTAATGTCGAATAAATTTAGCGTTACTGTACGATGACCTATAACGTTTTGTACAATGTTAAATTCATCTTTCAACATCCTAGGGATTGACCAACAATGGGAATCAAGGCTATTTTGCAACGCAGCTATGCACTTCATACTATATTGATTTGTGACCTGTCTGCACTCGGTAAAACTATTAATATTTCAGAGATAGAGGAATTAATTTCACAAAATTGATTAGTATCTCATACTAAATTAATAAAAGATCAAAAAGTCATTAATACATATATTTTTTACTGCACTCATTCGTTAGGATCACACACGAATATTAAATGCATGAAGGCTCTAATGGATGTAAAGTACAAAGTAAAAGTAAATTAATTTTTTTTGTTACATATGTCATACTTAGTTTTTATTATTGAATAACTTGCTTTGTTCATATTTTGCTATGTTTCGCGTAAAGCCCGTTCTCGTTTTAATTGTATAGATACTTACGTTTTTCTCTTTTCCTCTTCTAACTTGCCGGTTTCCCTTCCACCAGGTGATGATAGCGTCAGGTCGAGAGCCGGACGTCCGGCATTCTACTTCGTACCTTTTGTCTGCTGATACGTATTTCTCTTGAGTTAATATATTCACAGATTGGGGTTTCACTGTAATAAAAAAATTTAAGTAACTATAGGTTTATTTTGTACTCGCGCTAGTAGTAATTACTTAAGGAAGATAGCTCGTAAAATTCCGTTGCACTTACTATCAAAGTGTCTACATATATACCAAATCGTTTGCATTAAAGGATTGCCATCTGAGAGCTACTGCACCAAAGTTCTCCTGAAGGTAACTAAACAGTATAAAGCATAATGGAAGGCTCTGTCTGCATAGGAAATTAGTGCCACCTGAATCGCTGCAGGTAAAACAACAAAGAATAGACAGGGGGCAGACGACGCCATCGAAGCGGTAACGCCGGCGACGAAACAAGGGAACAAGTTTGCAGCGTTGTTTTACCCTGACAATGCATAATCCATGATGAGATAAAATTTAGAGCAGATTATATGGATTGAAAACGACAACAGTAGGTTTCATGAAAGTACACTTCTTTCTCCATGATTTTAGGGATTAACCAGCAAAAAAGAACACATTAATTGGAATATGAATAAACCTAAACAAACCCAAAGAATGATTTGATGTTGCAATATAAATCCAAATATTATTTACCCTACGGATATTCAGCGGAAACTGCAAATATCTATATACTGTTGTTAATAACCTTTCTGGTTTAATTAGGTAGTATTGATAATCATATAAATATGACTAAATGGACAAAAATAATAATAAAATCTTACTATTAAATCCACCTATATTTCTAGTTACGATATTGCTATCTTGAAATATTATCATGACTTACAACTTTCAAGTTGTATGTATTTAGGTGCAGTGGTTTCTAAGATCTTTTTACTTTTGATTGATAAAAACTGTTCAGAATGTTTCTCTTCGTTTGACTATAGAAAATAATCGAGTTTAACAACGTTCTCTTTAATTCGTCCGCGATTACTATAAGAATAGATAGAAATTTCTAAGAAACCGTGAATTGGATTATTTCACTTGAATTGTCGAAAAAACGAGCGTTACAATTTGCAAATCCTAAAAGTGCAGCGTTCCCATGGGGATCTTGGCAAAGGAAAAATATACTAACGAGTTCTGTTTGATAGACCATAGTCAATTTTCAGGTCTGAAATACCTTTGAAGTTTACCATTTGCTGCTGATTGAGGATACGCTATAAACGTAAGAGGTTCCTTTTCAGACGTATAATTTGTGGGTTTCGAAGGATAAGGCGGACCCATTTAATTTGAATTTCATATGTCACGAGATGTTTGAAAAGAATGATACTACAATGAGATTGTACTTACAATTAATGTCTAAAACAGCTACTTTCGTCTCCGCAGGGACGAGATTATTGTTGCTCGCTTGGCAAATCAGTCTTGCATGCAAATGTTGCCTACCAATATTCGGAAATGTGAGATGATTCAACACGACACCGTCATTTCGGACTTCATAGGAGTCATCTATAATGGTGTTTTCCAAAAACCAATTAACTTTTGGTTTAGGGCGACCTGTAAGAATTAAGAATGTTATTTATTTGTTTTCAGTTGATAAAATACGTAATTATAAAGATTATTCCAAACCGAATTTCGATTCGAAAGCAAATGTATTTTTTTATTATTATCATTATCGCCATCATAAATTAGATATATTTTCGTCTGTTCGTTATCGAATAAATTGCAATAAGAAATCCTGGAATATCCGTCGAATTTTCGTAATAGGTTTTCAGACCATCCACAAATGTTCTGTCTGTCAATTTTTGAGATGTTCTTTGATAAATCGAAGGCAATTTTTCGATAACCTTTATAATAGGATCGAAACTCGACATCATTATTTTTTTTAGGTCCGCAAAAACGTATCACCCATCTTGCGGAATACGTCCAAGCTGAACTTGTAAAACCTTTCGAGTGTTCGGGAGAATTAAAGTACGGAGAAATAAAATTCAATCCGCAAATAAATAAAAGAAGCCCATTCGGTTAAGGAAGAACTCGTAAACATTAATAATTCGGTTGTCGTGGCATTGGAATATTTTGTCAATCAAAATAATGAAAGGTTCAAGATTTGCATTATTTCGGTAACGTGAGTGAACAAAAAGTTTTTTACTCTTATAAAAAGTTAACTCACCTCCCTTAACTTCACAAACTAGGTTAATGTTGGAACCTTCATTGTACGGTCCCAATAATACTGACTTATTTTTTCGATGTCCATCGTAGATGAAGATCTTTTCAGGAGGAACTGTAACAATTAAAATATACCCTAATTAAATTTTTAATTATTGTAATGTTATAAGAAATATTTAGTCCCACTATTACTAATTTGAATAATTTCTTTCAATATCAATTAAACTTTTCATTTTTTTATAATTTAATCAGGTTCACGTAAAAATTAATATCGTATTTAATAATTTTGTGCGTTTTGAAATAACTTCCTATTGCTTAATACATGTTTTGATTAAATTTATTAAATTTCAAAGCACTTTTTATAAAATAGCTGTAATCATTATTGGTTCTTTCTGTCACTGTATCTCACATCCGTTCAGAGATTTAATAAACTTTATATTAATTTTAGCGCAAGATGTTACAGCGCGAATTTTCGAATGCTCTTTTAAATTCAACTGAAATGGATGTATTGCTGTTTGTTAAGTAATTTTCCATACCTATGTATTGTATTTTCTTAGTAAGAGTTGTTTTATTATTAGTAGATTGACTGGAGGAAATTCTGTTCGAAAATAATTAAAATTGAAAATAATAAGGTATTCGATTGGATTTTATAGTATTTACGAGAAAGGATAAAAGCTAGAAAAAAAGCACTGTAAAAATATTAAATCTTCGGTGAATCAATCAATGAATCAACGATCACAGTAGCTTTATTTTATAGTGATAATACATACTTCGTTTTCGCAGTTTTCATGTTATGATTAATATTTGTGCCAGGACTTTCCTTATCCTGGATCATTCATGACTATACGTTGAGATGTGACGAACACCAAATACCGCTAATTTATAGGATACATGCTATATTCAGGAAGGAAGGATACAAATCCTTTTAGATATACGTAGATACTTATTAAAAATTTCATTATACATATTTCGGTATTTTTATTATTGACAACGTTAACAGTGCGTCATTAGGCAGTTGTACAAATTGCACTTATTGTACTTCAACTAGATTATTAATTATTGTGTATATTGATTAAATTATTAATAATCAGGATCATACAATAATACGTATGTACTTATTATGTGGAATCCTTTTGCTATTATGTTGGAATATGTGGACAATGAATGATTTTTCGATTATTTAGTCCTTTAAACTGTTAAATAAGCACTGTATTATAAAAATTCGCTTAGAAATCTACAATAGAGAGTGCGAGCTCAGCGATTCGAATCAATAAAAGATTTGACTCTATCAGGAACCATCGGGATTCCATTTGCGCCACTTAAAATCGTCAAACCTCTCAATTCGCCGTCTAAAAGGCCCCTTTCGGACGTAAAAAAGCCTAACGTATAAGGCGAAATGATGGCAAAAATAAAATCGAAACAAATAAAACGAAAACCCTACGTTCCGGTACCGGACTAATAATGCTTATATCTGCGAACGCTCGAGGAAACTCGCGCCGTTTCGCGCTATCTCGAATCCCCGAAAAGACCAGACTTCAATATCAATGAGGCAAGAAAAACAAATTGTCATTTTCGACGTTACATCCATTCGACATGTGATAAATCGTCTCTCCTTTCGGTTCTTCCTTTTCGTGTCGTCGATTCTCCCCTGGGAAGCAGTCGAGCTCTCGATGATGCTCCGTTCGCGGTTTACTTACGTGCAACTATCTAAATTACATCTCTTGTGTCGCAATTTCATTGGATCGTATGATATGTTCCTTTAACGAGATGAATCCTTATACCGAAATTTATTTTCTTTAGGTAAAACAAAATTTTCTCACAAAATACTAGAGACCCTATAGAGAGACATTTTATATAGAGTTGGAATTGAAGATTGAAATACGCGTGTTTGATTAGTTGTGTTTAGTTGCATTCAAGTCTACCTCTCTATGTATGTAGCATATTCAAATTTTGGGTCAATTCGTAGTAACTATTACGTTCTAGGAATAATCATATAATATCGCAGGAAAGTTAGTAGTAATCGATTCTGCAAAATTGCTTTTAATTCGAATTCAGAGGAGAGAATCAGAAGATAACTGTGTAAGTTATGCCTGTCGGGTTAAGTTTGCTATTGAACTGGCCCGCCGGCTAGAGCAATTAATAAAATTAATTGAATTATTTCCGATCCATGATCCTTTAGAAGGTATAGACGATAGGAAACTACATATACGAGAATAGTTCGAAATTAATTATGTCTCATTAAAAAGTATTTACTTACAATAATTAATTATTCAATTAATGATTACAAGTTTACTTGTCTTGCAGTAACTCGCATAAACATACGGGTAGGTAGGTAATTTAACAAAATTACCTACCTCTGTTTCGACCAAATTGTATAAAATAATAGCTTACATTAGGTTAACTAATGATTGAACTATTTTTTCCTACGATATTAATATTTAGTAGGTAGGTAATTTTTTGTAGCTTTTAAGTTTAGGTTGAAGTAGATTTTTCGACAAAAACTAATCTAACTTTCATAATTTAGGATTAATGGAAAAATAAATGTCGCAAAATATGACGGTAATAAAACATTATATTGGGGGTAAATAAAGAAAAATACAAAATTCGTGAAAACACTAATGATATGTATGCACGAATAAACTTAATCGGACCAAATTTATGTTTTACCATAGGTCATAAATATTTTTGATAAAATACCTATTTTATTCGTTTTTACACGAGGTTTAACAAGAATATATAATATCCCACGTTATTCATCTATGATAAAGATAAATGTTATACTGAAAAATAAATATTTTATGTTTCTGCATTTTAGTGCTTCAACACGTTGTTATTGGTTCAAAATCGTTAAATTTACAGAGCAGGAATAAACATTTCGAATAATAAAGGTTTTCCAAAATAAACTCGTATCAAATTTTAATAATGAAACAAAAATAATATTTTTAACATATTAAGATTGTTATGAATAAAACCAGTATAGTCCGACTGGAATAATTATAAACGCAATCAACGCTACTTAATTTTAAATAATTCGTATGAACCAATGCGTATTGTATAGCTATTTCCTTCGCACTGTATACAAGTATGAAGAAATCTCGTAAAATAGGGGTAGATCGTTTATCACAAGAGCTTGAGAGTTAAGGAAAATAACATTTTGCAATCGCACAAACCGAAGTTCAGTTATTATTTACTTCTTTGTCGCACATCAAAAAAACTGTCAACGCATTTCCAGCCAATACAGGCAACAGCGGATTTTCCTCGAAGATTTACAATCGAAAGCTGTTCGAGCTGACCTCACGCCATCAACAAAAGAACGAAACCATCACAGCCTTTTTTCAAGTAGGTATAAATAAAAGCCTCGCACAAAGTAGATTAGAACCGGGGAGTTTGAAAAATAACCTGACGTCCAGCGAGAGCTTATTGACCAAAATAAATGAACGACTGGTCAGTCTGACGCCCGGCCGAACTCTTCGGAACCCTACCCCGGGAAAGTAACACAATTTATTTTGTGCAACACCAGGAAATAATCTGTTTAGCCAAATTAGAAAAGGGTTAAAAGGGAATGCTAACGACCGCCCTAATTTGGCCATTACATTCGAACGTCATAAATGCCGACGTCGGCGATTTATAATGCTTTAAACAACGAATCTTTATTTATTCGAAAAGTTTAATTAACGGTGCAAAATATTCGAAATCGCAGACAGAACAGATTGAATTGTTGCAAATATATGCAATATAATTTAAAATCTCGCCGCGATTAAATCAGATTGCCCTTCGTCTCTGTCAGGGCAGCCTAACTGAATTCGGGATAAAAAAAAGTTAGTGCCATTAGCATAAAGAGCGTAGTAATAAAATTTCGTTATATTAACTTTTCAAGTTAGGCCGGGGCCCTTTCTTGTAACGGCGGCCCTTATGAATTACTAAAAGCTTACCGTGAGATATTTCTCCTTCGGGAATAGACACTTTCAAATAGTTCATACCTTTCCCCGAGACATGCGGCTTACACTCTCAACTCATAATTTTTATAAGTTTGCGACTATTTTTAGCAATCCAACCTGAACTAAGTAATAAAGTTGAAAATTTTTTATTGTCATTACTATTTACTTCGTAGTGTGTACCTACCATTTACAAGTGCACTCAAAAAGATATATTATTCACAATTTTTATCTATTATTAAAAATTCCGGTACTGAGTTCAATGAAAATTATCCAATTATTAACTTGTTAAAATTATTGTCAATGATAGTATTGATTTTTTCGAACTGATCGAGTCCTTAGAGTTAAATCAAGTGGAATGTATTATAATGCGCAATAGGAGTTACCTTAAAACTCAGTTATTTCTTATTTCTCGTTATTATGCAATGAAACCTACTACTTTATACCAATTGATTCTCGTAAATTGCTTCAAACTTTGAATAAGAAGTTATATTACTCACTGATTACTGTGAAGTTGACTTTGCTGTTTCTTGTAGGGGAATTTTTGAAGTCCACTCGACACCTGTATACCCCTTCGTCGCTTATTCGGATATTGTCAATGACTAGCGCAGCAGGAGTTGTTGCTGCTCTGAAGTAGGCCCTCGGTCCGAATATCTCAGGCGAAGACCAAAGCTTCGCTTGGGAATACTGTCGTCCCCTTACATCAAAGCTGGAATCAAAACGAATTCGTGATTTGAAATTCTCGACATTCACTGAATTGTGCTATTATATTTTTATTTTAAAATTAATCGATTATAACGCGCAGTCGCCAGAATTGTCAATTTTATCAGATCTGATTTTTACTCATTCTCCTTAATTATTTTTAGTTGAAGTTGAACATTATTCCTAACGCGAAAATATTTTTCTATTCGACAACAGTGGTTCGCGCATTTTTTGGATTTCGAATAGATAAATCGTTACAAAGAAAAACGACATCGTTCAGTAACGTTTCTGCAACCATTCGTCAGTCGCGTTTTATAAGGTTTCGTCAAAACAAAAAACCGCCGCGAAAAGCATTCTCATTGTCTCTTCCCGTCTGCGCCTGGTCTCGAGTGATGAATATTCATTTCCCTCGTAAAAGTTGATCTTAAACTCGACAGAGGGGGATGCGTGGCGGTTTTAATAAAACACTTAAATCAGGTTAAAATACTGCTCGGAGGGCATAAGGGATATAAAGGTTTTCTCTAAGGCGCTTGCAGTTGAATTACATAATTATTACCTGCTGGCTTTTGCAATTATTCCCGCGTCGGGGACACTCCCACACATCATAATCTTTAGAGAGTTCCTCGGTTTTAATCAATCCTGACTTTTGCTTCGATTATTTCGTATCTTTTTATGTTATTTATATTGAATAAACAGTAGCATTGCATTAAAAGATTATTATTAAATTCCAATAATTTTAATTTTATAACAAATCGGAAATTAACTTAATATACTACATTTTATCGAAAATTGTTTGCTCAATGTATTTTAATTATTTAGTTACATATTTGATTGCACTCGATTAATTAAATTTATCCCTTCAATTATTCAATTAACTAAATATTATATATACATATCAAATTACCGAAATTTTTAATTCAAAACAACGGTACAGTGCTTTAATGCAATATTTGCAGTTACAAACATGCAGAAAATATAGCTAGTAAAATTTACTTCAACAATATCTAATGGTAATGCAATAATCATGGAATAGCAAAGTGTACTGCAATATAATCTTCAATTAAGTATACAAATACCACCTAATATAGTACAATAGGAATTCATCTAGAAATCGAAGTAATAATAATGATTGGTTTATTTACAAGTTGAAAATTTACAGGCCGTAGCTACAGTTATTTTTGTTACACTGTAGGTACTTACATACTGTATATTTACATACGTATAAGGTATTTCGCGTTGTCACATCATAACAAACTTCCCTTTAATACGTCACATTTTTGAAATTCGTTTCGAATTCTTGCATTGTCAGTTTGAAAATGAGAAAAGTCCGTAAAATTTCCAAATGAATAACATAATTATCAAATCTTTTCAAAATTCACTGAAACTGTTGAAGCGCTCCCGCAGACTGTCAGTAGTAAAATTTTCCGATGACAAATCTAAATCCAAAAAGCCAGTTGTCGAAATCAGCGTGGAAGATCTGAAATTGTTGAAGGAGAAAGTCGACAAACTGCGAAGGAAGGCACTGAAGAAAGGTTTAAAGAAAGATGAGGGTAAGGAGGACCCGTTATCGAAGAACAAAGATACTGACAAACGATTGTAGATATGATGTTAGTTTTTGATGAAACGTAATGATTTTGATTTTTATTAATATTATTGAATCGTTTTAAATTTTTGGGGTTACTTATTTAGATAACTTTTAAATAAATTTTTATTATTCAAATCGATTTTATCTACATATTTTAAGGCATATTATGTTTATTTCACTCTATTTTAAATTTTCCCATATTTAAAACTATAACAAAAGCATGATTATTTCTATTTAATTTTGGTCAACGTACAGAATAGCGCTTTGAAAACATTTCAATGATTTTTTTATTAAATTTAAACCATTGAAATTTGAATATAATGAAATTTTATCTCGACATTTTTTTATTTTGGATTTAAATAACTAGGAACATATACCTATACTAATAAAGGGTGCATACCTTCAATATTTCGATTTCGATATTTTCCCTTTATATTCGAGATGTACGCTATTTAAAGTCTCAACAAAGGCATTTGATGTTAAAACCAATACGTGTGTGCGTTGTGGAATTAAATAAATAAAACCAATAAAGAGAGACGTTCAAACGGAATATCAACAAATAAAAAGGTATTCCTGTACGGTTCTTTGCCGATGTAGACATTACGGCTAACATGGGGGAATCGTCTTCTTCTAAATTGCCCGTAAAATGGACACAATTTCGGTGAGAGAGGCAAAATGGGGCGAATTTTATGTCGGTTGATATAATTTTGGTTGTTTCCGGTTCAAAATCAAATAACCGAAAACAATTTTACTTCTAGTTTTCCAGCTTAGGTACTTTTATTTTTAAATATTTACTAAAGGATAAAAGTACGAAAATAAACAGACATAGGTAATTTAAATTGCAGAAGATACTTTGGAATTTAAAAGTAGTTCATGGAATTAATTTTATAGAACTCATTTATCTACCAAATTTAGCTATTTACTATTTAGCTATTTACTTTTATCCGTCCAAGATTTACGTTTATTCTATACACACTTAAAATTAAACTATAGTTTAATTTCATGCCAAGATTTTGATATGTGTTATAAACAACCCAAAAACAAATTACCTCCGTTTAATTAACACAGTATTTAAAATACAACAATTAGCATCTTCGTAACTCCTAAATAACGAGTAATCGGTTCCTGACATAAACAATTAACCGGAAAAGCGGCAATTAATATCGAAAATCCGGCTGAGGGAAACCTCTAAGAAGAAATAAATCAAGCGAATTATCTTATATTAGTTTGTAATTGAATTCAGAGCATCTTGTCGGTAGTAATAAGAAGCCCATTCAAGAAGTCGAAACTATTATGGTAGCCGCAAGAAACGGTTCAATGCATAATCCGAGTTACATAACGTATGCTTCCTCGTAAATTGTTAGGGAGTTAGTTATTACCGGCATAAACTATGCAAATATATGACTATTAAACGCAAAACTGTTTAATATCAAATAAATCTCCGGCGGACTGGGTTTTTATTGCCCATTAACCGCGAGTTACTATTTTGTACATTTGAATGTAGGTATTATAGTTTATTGTACGGACGGTTTTCTTGGGATAATGCCGTTAAAAATTATGTTTGCAAACGACTTAATATTTTGTTTACAAAACTTAAGAACAAAGAATGAGTGTTATTAAGCTTTTTTGTTTGTATGTATAACCACGGTATCATGGAATGTAAATTTCATCTTCCTTGAAGCATGAGGTAAATAAAATTAGAGTGCGCCAAGTTTTAAAGGATTGTTATTACAGCACTATTGAAATCTTGCCAACTTTAGATATAAAATACTGCTTAAGTCAACAAACTTCTATTTTCCATTTTAAAGAAGGCAGGTACGTAGGTTCACCCAGTCGAAAAGTAGTACATCGAGTTTAAGGTCTAAGTGGGCCATGAATGCTGCAAGGATCAAGGACTCGTAAACTCGAGAACAAAGCTCCCTTCATTTCGAATTCCAGGGTTTTACCGTAAAACTTTGCACGGCTCGGTTAAACGTCAGCCCGATGAGGTACAGTGTATTTTTACGAGCGTTTTATAAAGAGTGCATCACAATGCGCAAATATCGCACAGCTTACTCTCTTTATCGGAAGTTATAAAACGAGGAGGAAACAATAGATACCGAAGGGCGGGGTACTTAATTTCCTTAATACGACTTCATGGTTTTTCAAATTATCATAAAATAAACTTACGGAGTTCTTAAGCTAAGTAATTTTAGTAGAGAGTTGTAACTATTTGAAAAGTAGGTAACAAATGGCTTAATTCATATACTGGTACTGATTTGTTATCCTTTTGTAACGTTCACTATTAAGTTAGACGAGAGACTTTTTTTCGTTGGTTAACAATAATTGTATTAAATATTCGACTCGCTTAATTATTACCTTTATCCAATAAACCGACACCAACTATATAACAAAATTGTTTTTACTTCTAAAAACACAATGGCACTCGTTTCACTTATCTATTACGACAAAACAATTAGCTGGACGTGTGTAAACATCCACCGGCCGAAACTTTTAGGGTAGAGAAAATAATGGACACATATTGAGCGGAGGATAATGGACATCAATTAAGGCTGCCGCAAAAAGCTTGAGAACGAAAGTTCTTCATATTGTTCCGGTAATTTGACGGAGTGATTGATTTCGTCGTTTAAAAAGCTCCGTGGAATCCTTAACAGAAATCATTCGCTGTGTTTTTCCACACGAACAAAACCACTCGATATTCTCGTTATTATTTCAATTATTACGGATATCCGGTAAATTTATTTTTAAATAGGAGAAAGAAACTAATTTTCGGAACTAGATGTTGAGTTTCACTAGCGAGCTCCGCTCTTAATCAAATCAACGAATAAGCTCTTTGGCCTTTAGCTTACACTCTGTAACGTTTAAACCTCTGAGGCGTTAACCACTCGAAGCTACGTGAGAATCGCACCACCTGAAGTTTTCAGAAGATAAATGAGAAGGCTACCGCAAGGGTTGTCTGTTTTGACAAGGGCCAACTAAATCCTAATGTTGTGTTTTACTGATTAACCGTGTGGAAGAATTTAGATGTTCCCATTCGGTTGCCGGATCGGCTATAAATAAGCAACGCGATCGATCCTGCTCGGGTCGACTTCATTAAGTTTTATATCTGGACTGCTCCTTTTACATACAAGCCTTTAGATTGCTAAAAAAGTCCATCTCAATCGGAATAACTAAAGCCGCGAAGTAACCACATCATAATAAGTAGTTGATTATTAGTTAGACTATATTTATTTTATTTCACCTACTATGTACCAAACTATAGTAGCGTCTTTCATTAATATTCAGATAATTCCTTAAATTATTTTTATGAACCAATTTCGAATTAATATTTAAATTGAAATTTAACTAAATCAAATTTCGCAGTGTCGTTATAAACATTTTCAGTGAATATAATTCTCAATTTCCGGATCAAAAGGGGAGCCGTTGCTACAGTTTTTATTATAAAGCTAATAATTCCGCTCGCGATAGGAAAAATTTTATATTATCCTCGCATTTATGCCTGCGAGGCAAAAATTATTGGGAAAATAAAATAAAATAGAAATTTCTGGGAAAATTCCCCTTTTAATCTTTTAAATCGTTTTATTACCCAATATATCCCATTTTAATGGAAACGTAAAACAAACATCGATACCTCAAATTAAATTTAAACCCTTCAATCGAAATTAATTTATTAATTTGCTCTAAAAAATTCGTGTATATTTCTGAAAATATATAGAGTTATGCTTTGAATCTTCAAGGGATTTTTTCAGGAATATAAAAAGGGTCAATATTAAAGACGAGAAGTCTCCTCAAAGCCTTCTTAACTTACAAAGTTAAGGCCAAATCGGTTTCGAGAAAATAAATTTATCTTTCAAGGGTGTTTGGCTGTAACGGGCTATATTAGTTTTTCTACGACCTTTACTATGCTTAGGAAGACTTTATGAATGCTTCATATAATACGGGGACCGGGAACAGCGCGAAAGTAATGAAGGGTAAGTTCATTACTTTCGATAGTTAATTTTTACGGTTACGCCTCAAGGAAACTCTAGTTAGTACAACGAATTTTGGCTCTTGTCAACAGTTTCCTCAGAATTTTTATGTCAACAAAAATGCGCTTACGTTCTCACAACTATCTGAAGATTTTTATTAATTATTTTTATTGGTTAATTAAGTTTGCTTTGAAATGTACCAAAAGTAAATTAGGTCTAAATTACATGTACCTATTTACTTTTACGAGTATGTTTATACTTTCGTATGAAAATTCTATATATGTAAATGAATGTTTTTGCTATAGTTTTAAAAACAATATCTGTGTGATAATACTAACTCATAACCGAATTTACAAAAGGCTAAAAACAAACATCAATAATTATTATTTTTACATGCTTCCATAAATTTTATTTTTCCATGCCTATAGGTGGTATTTTTTACAGGATTTTGTGCCCTTTTAATAAAAGGGAAAAAAGAGATTGACTCACCTATAGAGCGGCTCGCTGACGGTTTCTTTGAACCACAATACCATGGCAACGGCGTCGTTCTTATCCCTTGTCCTAATATCACAGGGCAGATTCTGCTTCTTGCCGAGCACACCGTGAACTTCCTCCATTGGGACTGCAACAATTATTCGTGTTACTATTGTTCGAATGCCTTTAGTTGGAAAACTTTCATTTAGAGCTAAGGGCGTATAATAAGGCTCAACTTTGATGATTAGGGCGCTCGCAAGCGCGATGAGGTTTGGTCTAATGTTTGTCGCATTTCGTTTATAGGAATAAGAGGAGTTCAAGGTGAGGGGTTCTGATACCTATTATTAGGAGAGAGAAAATGGAAATGAATGATTTTTCAATGAAAGAATTACATTTTGTGGTTTTTAAATGAGAAATTCTAATTAGGTATAAAGTCTTTATAGTACGCCAATGAATTCATGTGGCTTATCTCATCAAAGTATATTATGACCCTCGGTTATTTCACCCCGACAGACCGAAAATATTTAATGCATAGCTGGAAGAATAACGGATAATTATCTCTTTCTTTCCGAGTGCTTTCCTTAGGTATTTTATCTTATCTGGGGAAGTATTAAACTGAAGTTGCTTTCGTTTGTTTTATTACCGAAATGAGTTTAATATCAAAATGTAATTTTTATCTGTTATCTTTCGTATCTGTACTTGGCGAAAGGACGATTTGAGTTTTTTAACGACGACTTTCGGAGCTATTAGGTTGATGAAATACATTACTTAGTTAACTCTAAGCTGCTTTTTTTAGATATTAGGTGATAACGTAATAATATTTTATGTTTTACGCATCAACTAAAGACTTTTCAATTTAGTTCTAAATTAGCATGCAATTTCCTTAAAACTATAATCGCATTACCATTTCTTAAGGAATAGCGGAAGTTACTGAGGGCCTCAATTTAAATTCGTAGGAAAAATAAACTCTTATTAAAAAAACATTTAAGTGTCTTACCAACCACTTCAGAAATTGTTTCAAGTCTTTATTATTAAAAGTTAGGAGCCATAAAAAAGGAAGAGAAAAACACCGAGTTGTTACTTGAGATTATAATTTCAAACTACAATAAATGCGAAAGAGGAAAGAGAAGTTAAAAAGATTTTCAGAGATTTAATGTAGGAATTGAGGTTCAGAGTTCTAAAGGGACCGTATAATAACTTTTTTCCCAAGAAATGAATTAAGTTTTTCCCCATTTTTTAAACGCAAGATTTATTATCGATTTCGCTCCGTCAACATTACATAAATTGGTAACATACAAGAAAAACTTCATTTTATGTACCTACTTCACAACAAGACAATACGAAAGAAATATTATCATAAAACCAACTCACCCCGGAGAGGAAGAAAAATTGTAAAATTTCTCCAATAAAGAGCAGATAAGAGTCGCTACGCCCAGCAGCGCATACAAAGTTTACATCTTCATTTCTGTTTCGGATTCTTTATTTCTGAACGCTGAAACATAAACGGTAATGCACACTCCATTACCTCCGCATCTTTTATATATTCCGAACGCCGTAAAGAGTCCGCCCGATGTGACAAACACATTGAAATAACGGAACGCGACGACGATAAAGCAACGAAACCAGTCCGCAATACCTACTCCCCGGAGATAGATGGATGTGTGTGTCTTACTGCAATAAGTTTATTGTGGTAAACGGCCCTTTCTTGCGGCAAGCGCGCAGGTGATGACAATATTACCGGGCGATAGTTTCCGATTTCCCGCCGCATGGCTTTTCGCTAACGATCCAAACCGCAGTGACATCCGTTGATGTATTACTGCATTGGAACAGTTTCGTTGGAATTTCGAACTTCATTCGGCGCAAGATAAATCTAAAACGCACGCTAAAATTATTGCAGATTTACGTCCTTATTATCATATTCACTGAAAACTAATTGGTATGGGGTTAAGTAGACTATAAGCTAAAGAATCGGATTTAAGAGTAAAATCGTTGTAATTATGCATATATTCTTGACTTTTTCTCGATAGGCTTCTTTAAAATACATTATTCCAAATTTATCAATTTGTACAAGTGCAAAAATGTAAGTGCTATATTAGAAGTATGTGTCCATAAATAAAAATTGTGTGATGCCCTTTATTGTCAGATGAAGGATCGAAACATTTTTTATTTAAAATATTCCGTGCTATGACTTCCATTTCTCCTTTTAAATATTTTAAATATGTCTTATGAAGGGATTTGTGTTACTAAATCTGTTCGTGTTAGCGCAATTTGCCAAAAATTTCCAGACCAATCAATCTTCAACAGACAGAAATATCATAATGGAACAATAATGAAAATTTATAACTTTCCGTAATTTAATATTCATTCGCAGGACGAATATAAATGAAATTATAAGTAATCAACATTCAACTGTGACGCCAAAGTTATTTCTGTTGATATACAGCTTGATTTATGCATTCGAATTTTTTCAGTGTGTTCGACCCAAGTTTTAAAAATCAAATAAAACAAAAAAATTAATTAATTTTATATACCTGGCCACCCTATTCTCCGACATAAATTAAAAATGATTTCCCAAGCGCAATTTTTATTACGAATACACGTCATAATAAAATTATGTCGAAACTGAGATGTGAGTATCTTGGATGGTATAAAGCGATAGATTGAGATGCCGGGTTTATGAGCAACTTCATATCGGTAAAACGGGCGAGTCTTCATCTGAAAGCCCGTACATGTGTACCTATAAACCGGCGCAAATAAATAAACTAGGAACCAATAAAGTCGGAAGTGGTTTCCGATGAAACAAGAAAGTATTTGGCAGATTGATATTGGTGGGCGGTATCGCTCAAGTGCCCCGTAGTTTTATATAACACTTATTTACATTTTACGAGGCCGAATTGGATGAGTCCTCGGGGGCAATACGGAGAGCAGCTCGCCCGAAGGGAAAAACGCGAGAAATTTAAGTGGGGCAGAATTTTAAACGGCATAGCGCCTCTCCGAAGAAAATATTACCGCCGGAAACTACGTGGGAAAATTGAGAAAATATGTTACGGCATTTGAATTGTCAGTAAAAACAGTGCGGAGAAAGTCGATTTCCATAGCACTTGAATGCGGATTCGCGTGCGATGATCTGACGAAAATATAGAAATAAAACCTAAGTACTATACATTTATAGATCGTGAAGAATACGACGAATTTTATTCATACTTATATTTTTTTATATCCTGTAGGTGTTCAATTTTTACCGTATGACTGGATTAATTATTTCCAAATCGCAATTCCGCACTCTTCGACCGTAGGAGGGGGTTTAATTAAATCTACTTTTATCACCCCTTGCAGGATAAAGGTGCGAAATACTTAATTTGATCGGGGTTAAAACTGTGCTGATGTTAACCTTCATTATATTCCTCCGTTTGTGACGAGTCCGACCACTTCCGGCTATATACAGTTGATAATGCTTTCAAACTCGACTGCGGCAAACTGTAAACTACTACTTCAAAGGAAAACCGGGACGAGAAGAACTTGTTTTATATTAACTTAGATTAAATAAGGGAAAAGTGCCATTTAATATTCTTTTTAATGTTGAAAATTTTAAATTTTTTTGACTACTACTGTAATTATACGCATAAAATTTTTACCAGTTAAAAACTTATTAAAGTGTAGATAGGTACTTTAGATTAGGTATCTTCCACTAAGCTCTTCCTTAAAAGAGGTGTTACGGAAAACATTGATTTTTTAATGGTTCCTTAATGTTTCTTATAATAACACTTAATTTAAAATTGAATAGGTAATCTCTTCTCATCTCACACCGTGATAATGTGGTAATTCCGAGCGCTTTCAATTCCAATACGCACCTTAGGTGGTCGAGAATTAGAGTTCAAATGAACTTATCGCGTCCGGAGTGTTACCTCTGACTGCTATTGAAGGCACATAAAATACTTTTATATGAATTTCCGGATTCTCCGTGGGAACGTCTGGAACATCTCGATTATTGAAATCCGCACCTGGCGCACTTAGTAAACGACGACAAATAGCCAATTGTGTTGCTAACTTTTGACAGGGCGTTTATCTCTAGCACCAAATAGAGGCCAAAGTTCGAGTTTCATTATTTTTGTTCGGCTGTTCAAAACATTTAGAAAACTTTTAACTCCTCGCAAGAGTAGTCGAGCGCGAACTTGGCAACTAAAGCAGGTACCAAACTTCCTATGTTTTTCCCAGTATAAAGTTTCCCGTAAGAAATCAACGTGGATGCTTGAATATTCAAAAAAGCCTCTTATAATTTCCCATTGTAGAAATATTATGCTTTCACATACCTACGTAATAAGTTTAAGTTTAGCAAAGGTAATGAAACTAATCAATTCTGCTGTAATTGCATTTGTAACGGCAACGATTAAAAGGTCATAGTACATAATACTGAATACATAAACATATCCGGATTAAACCAGCGTGCGGTTAAAGAAAATCCGTTTCAATGGTAAATTGTTGGTTGTAGGATAGCGAACAGATCCATCTGCGATGTCCAGTTTACCGGTCGAATGCTAGTAATCCACGATCCGTGTGCGTGATTGGAACACATAAACGTCAAGTTCACTACATTGCCTCATATGTTCCAACCCAAGTTTACATCTTTCCATAATTCCTTTTGATTCCTCGCTCCTTTCGCTTCATTCTCTATTACAAACCCTCGTTAACCGCTCATTTAAACCGACAATTCTTGCGATTCTTCTATGAATTTATATATTAATATTATATATTAATACATAATCACGAAAGGAGACTCATTGTGAAGAAGAATTTCTGTGAATATTTATATACCAACCTGGTTATTCGTATTAAATTAAACATTCAAAAATGTTCTTTGGAGGCGTACGTCAAAAGTGTCATATAACGAGCCGGAAGACTAGAAAGTTCGCTGGCTATATAGTTTCCATCCTAAAGTTACGACTTTTAATAATTATCTCCATTTTCTATACGGTCTTCCGGTTCACAATGAAACTACCTGAGAACTTTGCTCGAAACTTTAACGATTTTTTTAACCTATTTGAATAGTATGAATGTGAGTTGCTCTGAGTGCTTATGACAGTTCTAAATTACAAAAATCTTAGCTATAGATAGCCTACGTTGAAAGTTGGAAATATATGGAGCCCTAAA